AGGAGTTGAGACGATCCATCCTTCTGTCAGCCTCATGGTCAACCATGTAGGTGTCGCCAAAAGGCTAAGGTAAGTCCTTTATGACTCTGAATTTTATGTTTTAATCTCTTTTTCCAAATAGCTTCACCAAACACCTTTCTTTTCTAAAACTGTTGATGCAATACCAAAATCCATTTTAAATCCTAAAACTGGCGATTCAAATTCAAAAATCCATTTTTTGCATTCCAAAGCCAAAAATCAATATCTTTTCATGAAAATGGCACATAAGATTAAAACATAATAAATCAAAGGTCTTCAATGAACCATTCCAAGTTAAAAACAACTAACCTCCATCTTAGAATGGGAAAGAGCTATTTGGTCCTGATTCTCATTCTAAGGGATAAGCAGGTAGACATGACTCTCTAACACAATTTATGGACCAAATAAACCAAAAGACTTTTCCCCCTTTGTTTTCTTTTATTTTTGGATTCGAAGATATGTGATTACCATAAAATCCCATCAACGGGCTAAAGACAATACTCATTTATATTGTAATTTATTTTGTTGTCTTACTTTATTTTCGTTATGCTTCTTTTCGCTTTATTTAATTGCTCCATTTTTATTACTTTATTATAAATGTCATTCTTCTTATCTTAAATCTTTTCATTTTAGATTGAATATTAATAATTGGCTAATTAATTGAACATTTAAATCGAAAACCTAGTCTCTGATTCCTCCTTAGTTTTGTTGATTGGTGTACTTTTCTTTAATTGGAGTCAAATGGATTTTTCATACATTTACCCTAAAATGAAATTTAGGTGGCGATTCAACAAAATCATTCTATGAACTTAACACAAACGATTGTTTCAATCCTGTTTAAGTGGATTGGACCTAGCGCTTGAGTCAGGCCTCACAACAATAATAAGAAGTTATTAGTCGATATTATAAAAGATCACATAAATGTCAAACAATAAGGGGTTGCTCAGGTCCACCATTTATAGAAAAAATGAAGAAGCAATGGCCATCAGAAACACGAGCCTTCAAGTGACCTAATATGTCCTTTGATTACCCCAAGCCGACTCATGATTCACTGGAGTTTGAACTAAGTGGAACCTATATGCAGGGAGGCATTGTTGATGCTGATCCAAAAATCAGCCCAAGCTAAAGGCCGAATTGGCAAATCTTAGAAAAGGCTATATCATAGAGACAAATGCCAATAGGGCAATTTGGGTCTAAAACCCATAAATTGTAAATACTGCTTATATATATAGGACATTTTTGGATTTTTATATATAGATTTTCAAGAAGGTGCAGCTTGTTGGAAGAGTACTCTTAGGATCCCTATAAATAAGGGAAACCAATAATGTTAATGACATGTGAACCTATAAAACAAATAGAACTGTCTCATGCATCCAAGTACCTTGTGTCTCCCCTTTCTTTTTCAACCCTTTAATTTTTTATATTTCTTTTATCTCTCTTATCTTTGCTTTTCCCCTATTGAATTTTTCTTATTTTCATCCCCTTCTCTTCGGACTAAATAGATCCTGACTTATTTGTCCACCTATCCAAAGGCACTTTTAATAGGCCTAGTCCAACGGTCTCATAATCATTTCAGATTGAAATTATAAGCCCAAAACTTTTAGTTTATCATGGTTTTATGTTTCCAAAGAAGAGGGATGATTCATGGAGAAGAGAACTGAGGGCTGAGGTTGAAGGGATAAGGTGGAAAGGGTTTTGGGGTGGAATTCTTCTTAGTGAAACTCACCATTTTTACTTAACTCATTTTTTGGGTTAAGTTGATTTAATTGTAACATGTGAGACCCGTATTTTGTATATTTTATTCCTTAATTTTGATCAATTTTAAATTAGAATGCAATTTTATCAAAAGTTGTAATTGGAGTATCTGGAAAATTAAGTTGATTTTGAAATATAATAATTACAAGGCTAAATCATTAAAAAAAATTCCAAACTTTGTAGGTAGTTTTAATTATACCCTAAATCCAACTTTCTTCTCCTAGTATTCCGAACTTCAATTTTAGTTACAATAGCTCCATAATTTCAAAATATACCCAATTTAATGAATAAAATATTATTTTGGTTGGACCTATATTCTCTCGTATTATCAAATTAATCAGAAACTCATTATTTAACAATACTCTAACTTAACTTTTCACCCAAATTAGACAGTATCTCTGTCATCATTGCCATTTACAATAGCTCTGTAATTTTAAAGTATACCTAATTTAATGAATAAAATATTATTTTCGTTGGACCTATTCTCTCTTATGGTCAAATTAACCAAAAACTCATTATTTAACAACACTCTAACTTAACTTTTCACCCAAATTAGACTACTTCCCTGTCACCGCCACCATAGCTACCAGTATGCCAAATTTTTGCAATTTTCAAATATTATTTGGGAGAAAAGGTTAAGTTAAGGTCTTAAGTGATGAATTTTTGGTTACCTTGACCATCAAATAGTGTGGATCTGAGGTAAATAATATTTTATTCATTGAATTGGTACAATTTGATATTAGAATATAATTGTAAATAAAATTAAAGTTTAGGGTATTATGAGAAATCAATTGAATTTATGGTATAATTAAAACTACGAGCAAAGTTTGAAGGTCTTGATTTAGTCATTATTATAAGATGCAAAGTTATAGGGCTTATTTTCTCCCGTCGTCCCTGAATTATAATTTCTTTTCTGAATTGTCCCTATATTTCAATTTGTCACTTAAAAATACATGAATTTTTATTTGAGCAATGAAAAAGTTTATCTACCAGTTTTCCTGTAATATTCGGTTAAAAGTTTACAATGACCTTTTTTTTTGGAAAATTAATAAAAAAAAAAAAAAAATACCACATTAGATTTTTCTCTTCTTTTTCTCTTTTCTCTTCTCTCTAATTTCTCCTGATTAAAAGCAATATTGTCTCCCTTGCCTTAAATTGCTCCTACCTTAAATCTCAAACATCAGGATTTCTAGGAGTAAAAATACTCCCTTTCCTAGTTGAACAAATAATGCAAAATACTTTCTTGATTTTTTAAAAAATTGTTCTTGATTTCTAGTTTCTTTCTTTTATTTTCCTTTTTTTTATTGATTATATAAGAATTGGTAATCCAAAATCTAAAATGTCTGAAGGGCCTACAAATTTTAATCCGAATCTCCCTTTTTTTATAATCTGTCAAAAATAAAAATTAAAATCAAAACAGAAAAAAAAAATTACTCCAAGCAAAATAGTAAATCTGAGTTTCAAAATCAATACGATAGAGAATGGCCAATAAAATTAAAAAAAAAAAAAAAAACATATAACAACAAAAACAAGAATAAGAGGTAAAAAAGATTTTGCAAGCACCGTCTCGTTAGTGCTTTTCAAGCCAGGCTTGCACCAGTTGGAAAGAGCATCCTAGCTATCATATGGTGCTTTGCAGTAATCCTTTGGACATGGATGCACTTAAAGACAGTTGCAACAGACATGATAACTGCTATGATTAAAGCCATTTCCTTCATTTCTTGTTATCCAAACAATTCTAAATTTGGGAATTTTCAAATCAAGCAATTTCACAAAGCAATATTATAGTCAAATTGAAGCTAAGATCATATAGATCATAAATACAGGTATAATTTCAGCATATATCAGATAATTTGGCAGTAATCGGAGTTTGAACATTCTATCATCTCTCTTAGTTTGGGCAATTTCAATTTAGGCATCAATCCTCAATATTGTTCTACTAAACTTGTAATTTAGAAGGAAAGGAATTATTCTATACCTATCTCAATCGCCGGAGATGACTGAAAGCCGCTAATTTCCACTAGAGAATACGAAAAAAAAAGTTGTAGTTTGATATTTCATTCGATTTGTACAAAGCCGATTGTGAAAGCGAAGGACATAATTGAACTCATAGACATATTTGGAGCCGATATTCACTAGTTTCCGTCTTTGTGGCACACCGAAGAAGATGAAATTAATTGGAGATCGAGTTGTTGAAGCCGCGAGGAGATAGCGCGAGAGACAGCGGAGAGAGGAGAGAAAATAATTAATTTAAAAAGAGAGAAAATTACAGGAGATAAAAAATTATTAAAAAAAAATATGATGTGGCATTTTTAAAATAATGAGTTGCTAAAAAATTAATTCCACCTCAGTAAATTACCGGCTGTTTACAGAAAAACTAGTAAAAATCCTTTCATGTTGCTCTAATAGAAGTTGATGTATTATTAAGTGAGGAATTAAAGTATAAGGACAATTAAGAAATAATGAATATAATTAAGAGACAATGAGTGTAAATAAACCAAAGTTATAGGGATTGTGTTTATGGGCTTAATATATACTTATATTTTGAATTTTGGAGGTTGTTGCACTTACACTCTAGTTTAAAGTTTGTGACAACCACACCCTAAGATGAAAGATTGAGAATATTTACACCCCATAATTAAATTAAGGGTTGATTTGTAATAAAAAATATATTTTCAAGGACCCATAACTGAGCTTCGGTTAATTTAACCAGAACTTAAACCCAAACTTGAAACGACAACGTTGAAGAGGGAAAAAAATCTAATTTAAAATAACTCTCGTCTATCATTTGAGTACATCATTAATTACTGCAAAATTTATTTTTGTAATTTGTAGAAAGTAGTTTGAGTTTGGATAGTGGCTTTAACATTGGTATGTTTAGCTTTATAATTTGAATCAATCAACAAAATCAAAATGTAATGATGTTATCGATGATGTTTCTCATTATTTACAAATAGAAAATGGATTTTCTATTATGTCTTTCATGTGTCTTTTTTTTTTATTATTGCAAATCAGCTCTTATTTTAATTTAAGGTGAAAAATACTCTCAATTTTTCATTTTGGGGCATAATTGTAATAAGATTTAAATTAAAGTATAAGCGTAATAAACTCTAAATTTCAGGATATAAGTCATATTAATCCATTTTTATGGTTTAGCCAAAAAGTGGTAAAAAAAAAAAAAAAAAAAAATCAGTTTTAGGCTTTTTATATATAGTGCTCGACTTTCTTTCCCTCTCTTTTCCTGCTGATTGCTAGGCGTGTTATAAAGTGCGACTATACTCCTCTCTTTTCTTTTGATTGACACAGCACTATGATTGTTAGAGTAGAAAAATGGTTATTATCAAAATATTAGTTTATTTTATACCTCTCAAAAATATGAAGTTGAGCAAATGGGTCAGTCTCCTTGACAGCAATTGCCAGGAAGCACGGTCTTGTAGTCTTCGGGTTCTCTCTTCCAGCTATTTTTTTTAAGAATCTAAGTCGTTGACTGCTGGATGGAGATTGGCTTGCTACGCTACATAGTCTTAAGTTACAGGTTCTTGTCTACTTATATTTTCCTAGTTAGCAGTTTTCTTTCTTTCTTTCTTTCTTTCTATGGGTTTACCGGATGGCTTTCTTAATTCTGTTTCTCATTTGCGAAATAGCTATACTTTTCATTCTTAAATGATTTTTATCGTTAACATTGTTGGTCTGTTATTCTACAATTTTTTCTAGTAATGGAATTGGAACCCTAAGGAATTGGTCTGTTAGCTCGGTTTTTAGCTATACTTTCAATAACTACTTTTTTCATAATGGAATTGGTCTATTAGCTTGGTTGTTAAGTTGCTCTCACCTTTTTGATCAAAGTTTTAATCTTGAAGCCGGACTATAATTGCTTTTGAGTTCCATAAAGTTTTTGCTGATGCACTTAATTTAGGAAATTGAGTCTTTATACCATCTCATTAATTTTGAAAATTGAGTCTTCTACCATCTTGTCACCAAACCAAAAAAAAAAAAAAAAAAAAAAAAAACCCTAAGGAATTGGTCTGTTAGCTCGGTTTTTAGCTTATAACTTTCAATAACTAACTTTTTTCATAATGGAATTGGTCTAATTAGCTTGGTTGTTAAAGTTTGCTTCACCCTTTTTGATCAGAAGTTTTAATCTTGAAGCCGGACTATAATTGCTTTGAGTTCATAAAAGTTTTTGCTGATGCCACTTTAATTTAGGAAATTGAGTCTTTAGATACGCATCTCATTAATTTTGAAAAAATTGAAGTTTCTACTCATCTTGTCCCAAACCAAAAAAAAAAAAAAAAAAAAAAAAAAAAAAAAAAAAATCTAAATTATGGCTAATGGACTGCTTGATTTGTATGCATAATTCCCATCGCGAGAGCTTATTTCATTTAAAATATTTAATGTACCAAAATCAGAAAAAGTATCATTGTTGACCAGCTCATCTTAAGAGTCAACTGCTTGTTATTTATACTCTTCTGAAAATTCACTAATATATGATTAAATGAAGTTTGACTTTGTTCCATAATAAATCAGAAATAGATCATGAATTGCGCAGAGACTTTTGTCTTTTGAGTTGTGAAGCCATCTATGCTTCAATGGTGTTGGGTTCCTAGCCTTGAAGGACATGGCTTGCTCTTATTTGCTATGTGGAAGTCTGAAAAAGATATAAGTCAACTCTCTAAATTTGTAGCTTATGACCAATTTTAAAATTATTGAATCCTCATTCCTACTTCTACAATTCAAATTTGCAATAGCATATTCTGGAGATTCCATGTGGTGACTTACTCTAGATTTGATTTTTGGGACTTTGAATCTTGCTTACCATGTTGTTTGTTCTAAGTTTTGGGTTTGTTGTTGTGTTTGGATTAATGTTAATCTAATTTGAATTTTATTTCTTAAGCGTTCACTTTAGGACATGGCTGGTTGTGATAAAGATGTGATACCAATGCTATAAAATCACACTTACATTTCTTTGGCGAAAATGAGCAATTATCAGTCACAGAGATCTTTATCCCAGAATCCAAGCGTGTCAATTTCTATTCCTATGAATTACACGGAGTTCTCTGAAACTGAAGTCAGGAATGGAGGCTATACTGACAGATTGCATAGTGAAAGTAGTTCACTTTACGTCAGCAGAATACCTGAAATTCTTTCTCAGCCAAATCATGGTGTGTCGCGCAGAAAAGCATCCAGAGCAGAAACATTTCTTTCTTTTGACGGAACGGATCAAAATTATTGGATTAATGATAAGTACAGTGGCGAAAATGAACACTTACTAAGGTCTGGACTATTGGGGATGTGTAATGATCCTTACTGCACTACATGTCCAACATATTACAACTTCAAAGCTAGACATCAGAGAGCTTTTGCTATATTTGATACCAAGGTATGCCTTCTTTTAATGAAAGAAAAAGTAGCTTTTCCCCTAGATGGTGGACTGATCTTTCTAACCTTGTTATACTGGATACTTACACAATGTTCGGGAAGCATGTTGTTTTGTAAATAGTATAATTTCTATCTTGTCACCATCAAATTCAAATAAAATAAATTCTGAATGGTTATAATTTATTTTAAAACTTTCCCACCCACTTTCTCAAATAAGGGAAGTAAGTGGATTGTGGGATCGACATGATATTTTCCCTACTATTTTCTTTCCTAGTTATTTTTCCACTTTCCGCACAAGAAAAAGAGGGACAAAACTGTTATTTTCATTACTTATTTTCTTTCTTTCCTATTTCCCCCCTTTCCAATTAGCTTTAGTGCTACATTTCAAGTTTTCATCGAGGTATTATTGGTCTTTCACAAAGTATTAACCATGAAACATGCACTTTAGCAAGTATTTCTCCTTAATTTAATCAAATATTCATATTCAATAATCGCTGAAATCTATGAGAAAAAGATCAGGATATAAAGCTGCAGAATTGAAAAATACTGACAATTTGTAATTTTCTATCACTTTGTTTCTTCAAATTTGAGTACTGTAGTCATTTTTTCCTTTAGTTGGTTAAAAAATGAAGTTTTAAATTGGAGTATTACTCATTATATTTCATTCTAAGAATTGAAATAATGGTAATTAGAAATTCTCTTATTGTACTCTAAGAAGTATAAGGGAATGAACCCTTGAGATCTCGCATTACAAATCATATGCTTACGGCTCACCCATTATGTTATTGCCCAATGGTTGATTGCTAGTAATTATTTATTTGTACTGTGATGTGTATCCTGAGTTTGGCTTTCCGAATAAAATGATTCTAGATTCATTTCTAGTGGCATACATGAGTTGTTGGTAATTGTGGTAGTATCAAGGGGAAATGTAATTTTTAGGTTGAGGCTTTTTACTGTGCGTTTTTTTTCTTTTTTTTTTTTTTAGTTTATTTCAATTTGTTTAAGTGCTTCTTTACATTCTAGCTATGTGTGGATTATGTCTCTTTTATGCTGCTACAAATATGAAGAACTAGTATTTGCACACAATAATGGGCTTATGTTGATTCATATGATTGTATTTTTGTTCTGTCTTTCTTTCAGAATGCTTTAGTACTTTGAGTAATAATTTTGTTCTCCTTTCCTACTTCCTTTACAATTTTCTTTTTGTCCTAAGAAAGGTTAATAATGTTATGTGATTACATAAGAACATGCTCATTTAGTTTTAGAAACTTTTGCTTCTTTGCAGTTCCATAATCCTTTGTTTGGGGATGCAAGAGGATGGGCTCGGAGAACTATTTCTTTTTTGAGATCATCTATTCCTGGAGTCATGAATCCACATACTAAAATTGTCCAATGGTGGAACAAATTTTTCCTTATTAGTTGCTTGGTGGCAATTTTTATAGATCCATTGTTTTTCTTCATGCTATCTGTGCAACAGGTTAGTTTCATCTGTTTTTTCATTCTAGAATCTACAGTTAAGCATACATTTTACAGGCTCAATGTGCTTGAATATAGCCATAGTTAAACTTTAGAGAGGTTCCATAATATAAACCACAGATTTATTTATTATATTTATTTCTACATTGACTATGTATGGTTTAGTGCTTGTGGTCATGTTTCATAGAAATGGGGCTGTCATATAATGGATGTAGCTACTAGGTGTTGGTTGATTGCTTCATATTACTTTTCCTTTGAATATCAGATTGCATTAAATATATATATTTCAATGTTTCAAGAATGTGATTAAAAGACTGTGATACTGATGCTAAATGAATATTGATGATCTTTATTCAAGGCAAACTATATGTTACTTTGAAGTACATCCAACCAATACTGTTATTTTCTATAATAGCATTGAACTATTTAAAGAAAAAAAATAGTAGAAAGAAAAAGTGAATCAAATCTTGAAGAGGAGTGGGGTGGGGGAGTGATTTTAAATTAACTTCGCTTAATGGTTATGATTACTGTTAGTGTTTGCCATTTTTATATGATTTTCATTATTAATCATGACATTATTAGGGATTTTTTCCCTTATCCTATTGAGTGCAGTATGCAGATGCTATATTTTAATTCTCAAGCACATCATATTCAATGGTGATCGAGCTACCATAGGCCTTATTAAGATCCTTTTCTAATTTCTGAATTTATCTTTCATTAACTTGTATTGCAGTTCACATATTTCTCCTTATTTGATCTAATAGAATTTGTTATTCTTTATATTGTCATAACTGAATAGCATTATAGCTGCATAAAGTTGGTTCCTAACTATGCGCTTATGCTCAACTCACTAAGAACATAATAAATGACAAATGTTCAACTCATTAGTAGGACTGGCAGTCTCTTTAATTTTTCTAGGCCTTATTTGGGTGGAGGTTTAAGGAAATTTCATAATTTACTTGATTGAAATTCCATCACCTAATACAAATTGATCAGCCGTGCAGTGTGACTGCTTGCATTTGAGAGCCATGAAACCATTTCTTTTGGAATTATATCATTTTGCCTTTTTGAATGCAGGGTGATAAGTGCATAGGTATTAACTGGTCTATGACAGCTGCAATTTTGGTACTTAGGAGCATCGCTGATTTCTTATATTTAGTGAACATACTTCTTCAGGTATTGAGATTCTTTTTCCTTCTCTTGTTTATTTGCTTGTTTCGTTTGTGTTGTTTGCATCACCAAATCTACCATTTGAAGTTTTGTCTGTTAAAACCCATTAAACATTTGATTTTGTAAGTTGTAACAACAAATTATGATAGTTTATTCTTTAGTGTAAAGGATAGTTTAGGTACTTCCTTATCGCCTTAGTCCTATGTATAAATAGGATTGTAACTATTTTTTACACGAGATTGAATGAGATTTTTCCACTCTTCTCACAAAATCAACATAGTATCAGAGGATTGCTGACTTTTTCCAGCACACCCTAGAGAGAGAAAAAAACACAGTAGAGAGGGACAAATCCTAGGATAGGCTAAGCTTCCTGACGACTGGAGAGAGGGAGGTGACTTACACCACCCTCCTGAGGGGAGAGAGCATCAGTTGATTGGCCGATTCCTAGAATCCAGCCGCCATCCGACGCTGCACGTGGGCCCACACGCCACTTCAAGATTCTGGCACTTTCACCACTCACCGGTGCATGACAGCGTGTGATGCCGATTCCGGCCACCTCTCCAGAAGCAGCTTTCTCCGTCATACTCATCCTGGTGTTGCGCCTCTATCAAGCTATTTTCCTGGTCTGATTTTCAAAATTTTGGGCTGTTCTTCCTTTTTTGCCTTATTTTGGTTGTTTTTCGGATTTTCAGACCTGATTCTTGTGTGTTTTCTGGGTATTAACAATGGGTGATGGCTCACAAATCATTGTTACTAAGGTTATCTCCTCACATGAGAACCCTTCATTGCAAATCAGCCCGGTTAAATGGTACAAATTACCTTGCTTCGTCAAGGTCATGTTTATGTCAGTTATGATCATCTGTCTTCTTCATCTCGTTGTTTTGTAAGTAACCTAGACTCTGTCTTTAAGCCTAAAATTGTTGTCCAAGCTTTGTCCCATCCTGGTTGGTGTGCAGCAATGAAAGAGGAGATGGCTGCCTTAGATACTAATGGTACTTGGGATCTTTGATCATCTGTTCTTCATCTCTGTTGTTTGTAATGTAACCTAGACTCTGTCCTTTAAGCTAAAATTGGTTGTCCCAAGATAATTGTCCCATCCTGGTTGGTGTGGTCAGCACAGCAATGAAAGAGGAGATGGCTGCCTTAGATACTAATGGTACTTGGGATCTTGTGTCTCTCTCGGCAGGTAAAAAAGCTATTGGTTGTAAGTGGATTTTCACTGTTAAAATGAATCATGATGGGTCTGTTGCTTGTCTCAGGGCTCGATTAGTTGCTAAGGGCTATTCTCAGATTGATGGCCTTAATTACTCTGATGCTTTTTCTCTTGTAGCCAAATTGTCTTCTGTTCGTTTGTTTATTTCTTTAGTAGCTATTTTTGACATGCCTTTACATTAGCTGGATGTTAAGAATGCCTTTCTTCATGGGGATCTTCAGGAGGAAGTTTACATGGAGCAACTATCAGGCTTTGTTGCTCAGGGGGAGTTGGGTAAATTGTGTAAACTTCGAAAATCTCTTTATGGCCTTAAACAGAGTCCTCGAGCTTGGTTTGGTAGATTTTGCAATGTGGTACAGCAATCGTGTACTATCAATTTGGTCATGCAGAAGAGTAACTTCTGATCATTCGTAAATTTTTTTTTAGAAGTACTAAATCTGGTTTGATTCTTACTTGTGGTTTTATGTTGATGACATTGGTTATTACAAGGGAGTTGATTCAGCGGGCATTACATTCACCTATAGTTCATTTACAGTTCCAGAACAAAAGACTTAGGATTGTTGATAGTATTTTTGGTATGAAAGTTTCTAGGGTAAGTAGAGGCATCTTATTATCTCGTACTAAGACTGGTTTGATTCTACTTGTGGTTTATGTTGATGACATTGTTATTACAGGGAGTGATTCAGCGGGCATTACATCACTCAAGTCATTTCAGTTCCAGACAAAAGACTTAGGATTGTTGAAGTATTTTTTGGGTATTGAAGTTTCTAGGTGTAAGAGAGGCATCTTATTATCTCAAAGGAAATATGTCCTTGACTTACTGAAGGAAACTGGAAAGTTGGGTGCTAAGCCATGCAATGCTCCAATGACTCCTAATTTGTAACTTTCAATTGGTGATGAGCTATGTGATGATCCTGAGATGTATAGAAGATTGGTGGGCAAACTGAATTATTTTACGGTAACACGTCCAGATATTGCTTACTCTGTGAGCGTTTTAAGCCAGTTTATGTTTTCTCCTACTGTTATCCATTGGGAAACTTTAGGACAGATTTTGTGCCACTTGAAAGTTAATCCAGGCTGTGGCATCCCTTACAGTAATCATGGGCATTTGGACATTGAGTGTTTTTAAGAAGCGGATTGGGCAGGTTCGAAGGTTGGTAGAAGATCAACTTTAGGATATTGTGTCTTTGTGGGTTAAACTTGATATCGTGAAGGAGCAAGAAACAAAATGTAGTCTCACGATCGAGTGCTGAATCAGAATATTGAGCTATGGCACTGATACAAATCAACCATCGCTCATCCACGGAGCTCAAGGGAGCAAGGAGAACAATTTGGGAAATCCATTGGTGCTTCCTAGTGGGCCAATTACACGGAGCCGTGTCAAGAAATATGGGGCAGCCATGTCCTTATATGTACAAGACCAAGTTACACAAGAGCTTCATGATCTTGCGTTCGACAAGTGTTGCGTGGAACCTGAAGGCACACTTATACTTCTTACATTGTTGGAGGCATGTGCTGATGGTGCAGCACGCCCGTGCTGAGTAGCATGCCTTGGGCATGCTAGAGTCTGCCTCTTGGTAGCATGGGGGTGCTAGGTAGCACGCCCACGGTTTGACTTGGACGTGGTTTTTATCTTTTAAGGCTTTATTTGGTTTGGCTAGCGTGTAAGGGATATGGGCCTTGTGTTAATGGGTTATATTCCATAGGTTAGCCCAATTATGCTTAGTTTCTAGTGTAAATACCTTTGCTTTCTTTGTAAACGGCGGAACCAATTGACAATTTGAATCAAAAATAGAATTTGTTCATGCTTTGCATGTTCTTGCTTAGAGTGATTGTGAGAAATTGCTATCCTCTAATTGCATCAAGAATTAAGGTAGCCTTATCAACTCATTGTGGCGTTTATCTTGTTCTTTTTTTCTCGATTATTGGTGTTTCCATTTCCTTACAAACGTGGGGTGCCATAGAGGGGAATTCATCTTGATCTTTGATCCGATCCACTCGATAAGGGGTTCTAGGAATTCATTTCCTTTGGGTTCCGTATCAGGCACAATCTGCTTTTGAATTAATTTGGATTCGTCAGTTGTTAGAGGAAATTGGCTTCAAGTTGTCCTTGCCTGCGAAGTTATGGTGTGATAATCAAGCTGCTCTTCACAAGTTTGTTGAAGGGAATAATCAAGGCTTCAAGATGTCACATTGCCATGCGGAGTTTATGGTGGTTAAATAAATCAAGACTGCATATCTTCACATTGCAATCAAATCCAGCATTCATGACAGAACAAAACATTGGCATTGAGTGTCATTTCATTCGTGAAAAATATACAATAGGGTGTTATCTCTACAGGCCAACGTATAAAACAAGTGACAGTTAGGCGCCTTATTTACAAAAAGCCCTTAAATGGACCTCGGTTAACTAATCTTTAAGTAAACAAGTTTGGGCTAGTTAAACATTCTATGCTCCAACTTGAAGGGGGAAGTGTTAAGGACTAGTTGTAAATAGAGATTCTATTAGGAGTTAGATTCTTAATAGGATGATTAACATCTATGCTCCAACTTGAAGGGGAGTGTTAAGGACTAGTTGTAAATAGAGTTCTATTAGGAGTTAGATTCTTAATAGGTTTATAGTATCCTGTATATGTATATATATATGTCCCTACCGATGAAAAAAAAAAAACATATTTTTTCCACATTGAATTACATAAACATTAAGTAAGCATTTCGTGTTATCAAATTGACATTAAGATGAAGAAACTTTAAGTGGCATGGCTCATGAATGGCTACTCGAACCAATAGATGGCTTCTGGTCTCATGTGCATGCTTGCTTGTATAGAATATGATTATGATAAGTAGCTCAAAGGTTATTATTTGTTGGTGCGATTGTGTGATGGTTTTAGTCAAAAAGTTTGTGATGTGGCATTATCACATAGGACGCAAAGTTATAGCAAAAATGTGGGTGTAAACTCAAAAATAGCATTAGCCATTTTATGATGTGGAAACCTTTTATCTTTATGTATTTAAAGGAACAGGACAAGGATGAAAAGAGGAAAGAATAAGAAGAATGCAATCCAAATGCTGAGAGTTTGGAGTGGAAACACTGCGTTTTGTCCTAGTATCACCATATATTATGTTTACGTGGTTTTTGCTATGATCATGCGCTCAATAAGATTATGCCTAAATATTATAACACTGAACCACATGAAATTGATTTATAAAAGCCAGTGGCTCTTAGTCTCTAATATTCAGTGTGCTAATATCATCTAATTTAAATGCCTTTGCCTGAAGCTGTTTCATATTCCAGCATTGATTAAAATATCTATACTGATAAGATTAATCTAACAATATCCATTTCATTAATTTTGTGCAGTTTAGGTTGGCTTATGTAGCTCCTAAGCCTACAATGATTGGTGCTGTCGTATTAATTGATGATCCAAAGAAAATTGCTTTGCACTATCTCTGTGGATATTTTTTTGTTGACTTCTTTGTTGTATTACCACTTCCTCAAGTAAGTTGTTTTTTTTTTTTTCTTTTGGGTCAAAGTTTACTTATGATAAAAAAGTTATAATTGTATGCCTACATATTTTCATATATAGTTATTGAGAAAATGCTGACCCTTGATATTATAGAAAATTATAGTCTGATCTTGGTGCAGCGATAAGATTGCTTTGTTATTATCTGGAGCTGGAGGTCACAAGTTCAAAACATGAATGCACTCCTATGAATGTGAACAGCTCTATGCATTTGACCTTTCCTTGAGACCCTAATGTAGAAACCCTTGTGCTCTGGCCGATATATTATTTAGACAAATGTTCCTGATTCTGTGTTTCTATATCACATATTTAAAAACAGATAACATCATACCTGACATCGCTCCAGTTGATCGCTTTTTTTTTTTTTTTTTTGTCCAGTTGATTTTCGCTTTTTTTTTTTTTTTTCTTTTTTTTTTTTTTTTTTTCTAATGATGTGGCTGTCATGGGGAAAATAGGGTCACTTTTTTAGATATTGCTGAAGCATTGGAAGAATCTAAAACTACTTGTTCAATTTAAATAATATTTTTATTTTTTAGCGTTACCTTTCTAGTTCTAAGAGTTCATTTACAAATAATTACACTCTACCCATATAACGTGCACACTTGAGAATACATGCTTCATTTTGTTAAAAATCACATGCAGATTATTATATTATTGGTCCGACCAAGAGCCTTGGGAATGGCATCATCTGGAGCAGATTATTCCAAAAATCTCTTGTGTGCAGCAATTGTCATCCAATACATTCCCAGGTTGATTAGGTTCTTCCCTTTTCTCGGCAAGTCTCGGATGGGCTTCTTATTTGAAACAGCATGGGCAAACTTCTCTATAAATCTTCTCCCCTTTCTGTTGTCAGGCCATGTTGTTGGGTCAGGCTGGTACCTCTCTGGGTTACAGGTCGGCAAAAGTCCTTTCAATGTTCTGTTTTATATGGACTCATTTTAATGTTTCTTTCCTTCAATTTTTGTCTGCTCATACTTGTAAACTTCAATGTACTTTGAGTAATCCTATTTTATGTTATCTTTTAATTGCTGGATATCAACTTTCATAGTCTGACTATTTACAAAATTGTTGCCATAGAGTGATACAATCTCCAAATTCATAATCTGTAGAAGTCACAATAGATTGAAAAAAAAAAATATTGCATTGTTCTTCTATTTGTCAATTTTATTACCTTGTGATTTGTTTCTATAATGAAATGGTGAACTATGACCATGAAACATGGTAATAGTAACTGTTGAGAGAATATATTGTAATTGTATTTCTTGTATCTCATCAATCGATTTCATAGGTCCATATATAAGGAATTCCTATGCTACCTAGCTATTTAGGAATACAAATCATAAACTAATTAGGAATCTAACTCCTAATAGAACTCTATTTACAACTAATATACAAATCAAATACAACCTATTATAAGGAAACTATACTCGCTTAATCACGAACTGAATCTTATTCCTAAAAACACTATCCTTAACAGTAACAAATACTGAATTAGCAGTAGACTTGGCTTCAAAATTGAAAAAGCAGCCATTTTCCTTTGATTACTCTGGAATATCTACGTAAATGTAAATTCTTCATAATCTATGGCGGTGAAAAACTATCCACTATATTGTTAATTTTATCTTCAAGCCTTCTAGATAGTAGCCCTGGGCACCCATTCAGTTGTTCACGCAAGCCAGTAATGGGTTCTCGTCCTATGCTACCTAGCTATTTAGGAATACAAATCATAAACTAATTAGGAATCTAACTCCTAATAGAACTCTATTTACAACTAATCCTTAACAGTAACAAATTACTGAATTGCAGTAGCTTGGCTTCAAAATTGAAAAGCAGCATTCCTTTGAACTCTGGATCACTAAATGTAAATTCTTCAACTTGGGTGAAAGTATCTATATTGGTTTATTTATTTCACCTTCTGTATAGTGGCACCTTGTCCGATTTGGTTTGCTTGTAACAGAGCTGGATATCTTAAAATTGTTCATCTCAAAGTTGTCAGTACATGTCATCACATGGTTAAATGATGTGATATCTGTTCATTGAAGGTGAAAAAATTAATCCCTAGCACGCCCTAGCATTATATTCTTGACTGTTTATTCATTTTATGTTGGATATATTCTCTTCAGCATTGTACATGCTTCTTGTTTTACTTTTTTTTTTTTTTATTATTATTATTGGAAAATGTCCTCAAATAAAATAACTGCTCCTTGTTCTTGCATCAGAGGGTTAATCATTGTCTTCACAATGCCTGCTACAATGCTGATGTCAAGGAGAACTGCATGAGTTTCTTAGACTGCGGAAAGGGAAGCGCTATTAGACAATTTGATTCTGACCAGACATGGTATGGCTGGAAATATAACGAGAATGCTAGTGCTTGTTTTACAGAAGGTGGTTTTCGTTATGGAATCTTTACCAAAGCTGTCAACCTAACCACTGAACACAGCTTTAGCACTAGATATCTATATTCACTGTTTTGGGGCTTCCAGGTAATCATCAGTGTTATGTTTTCTCAGCTATTCTGTCTCCTTTTATTTTTGAACTTTGGCTTGCTACCTCTGCCTAATTGAAAACCATTTAGTTATATCTCTAGTAAAAGTTTGTTTTACAAGTAGTTTAGAATTAAAAGTTTCTAACTGGTATTTACATGCATGCTTTGTGTCTGTGTCTACGAGTCTTATAAATCGACCCACTATAAACCCACCTAATCAACAAACCAGTTGTGTGGTTGCTGTTAGAAAGCTGTAAACCAACAAAAATCACTCCATCCAAAAGGCTTTTCTTAATCTCCTTGCCAAAGTCAAATTAGATTATCATGGGACAGAGGGAGCATTTCCTATCGACATTATATTTCATGTCTAATTTTATGCAGCAAATCAGCACTCTTGCTGGAAACCAGACACCAGGCTATAATGTTTGGGAGGTTGTCTTTACAATGGGTATAATTGGACTTAGCCTTCTGCTCTTTGCTAAATTCATAGGAAATATGCAGAACTTCTTCCAGGCTCTTTGTCAGAGGTAAACCTTTTGTTTTTCCTTGTTAAATGTTGTGCCAAAGCCACTTGATTAGGATGCATTGCATCAAATTTTTCATAAATATTTTTTGGTGAAATTATTATTCTTGTATGGCCTCTTAGTAGTCTTCTTCCAAGAGCATGAATTATTAGGGCCCAATTGTCAAAGTTGCATAGTGCCCTTAACAATAAATACAAGCTGTAAGTTTCCTGGATGGATCTTAATTTATTGTTCATTATTTTTGTTTTTGAAAAATTATTTCATTAGTTCTAAATTCAAATTTCACAATGGTAGCTCTTATGGCAAGATGCAATAATTGACTAGTCTAACTTCAACCAGTTCACAATACTTGAACATGTTTTCACCAAACCAAACTTGTGATAAAAATTATTGGGGTTAACTGAAAAGACTTGATTTCCTCTTTAAATAAGTTTTATCATGCATAGTAGGATAATGTGCTTCAAATTTACTTTAAACATTAATATTGCCATCTTGTATCACTCAAGGACTGTAATTTATAAACTCCAAATCTCGAAAACTTCTTTGTTTTTGGTTATCCATGACGATGCTGAATATACTATTTTATTATTGTTTCATTTGATCATCATGATAACTATCTTCCATGAGATTGCTTATCAACCATTTTTATTTGTCACCTCATTAATAGCCATAATAAAGTTACATGTAGCTCCTGTTTAGGATAAGAAACTCAGATGTTATACAACATTATGAAGGCATTTGAAATTTGAGTTCTAAGCAAACTAAACCTCAGTTCAACAGCATGAGGATCAAATTTCTAATGCTTTGACATCACTATTTTTACATCCAATATTGCTTGAGTGAAGGTCTAGAACGACAAACAAAATGCGTCAAACTCCATTACATGCTAAGAAGTCTATTACTTCCTTCATCCCATTTTGTTTGCATTGTTTGATAAAACACGCATATTAAGAATTTAGTCAACAAAAGTTATTTTGCCCTTTTTTATCCTTAACTCATTAAGATATTAATAAAAGTCGTTCATTTATGAACAATAATAAAGGTTATGGTGGGAAAAATAATTATTTACATATCTAAATTTGGAAACCTTGCAGAATTAAGATATTAATAAAAGTCGTTCATTTATGAACAATAATAAAGGTTATGGTGGGAAAAATAATTATTTACATATCTAAATTTGGAAACCTTGCAAAATTTTGGGATATCCAAAAAAGGAATAACAAACAAACAAAATGGGATGGAGGAAGTATAATTTTTTTATTTTTTTATTTTTTTTTTGGAAGTGCTAATATGCTTAAGTTGATTAATAGAAACAGATTCAATCTCTTTTAGTATCTATAGTTATCCATGTTGTTTCAGAGCCTTACTGTTGCAATTGGACACCATCCACATAATTCAGCTGTTTGAAGTAATTAAGTAAAACGGAAATAATAGGCACTCTATATAGTTCATCTAGATTGTTTGTGAGTGCGGCAGTGCATCTAGATTGTATGTGAGTGCGACGTGAACTGTGATGACATGTAACTCCATGCTTAAAGTTCTTAAGTTGGATAATGTTACATCATATACATGCACAGAACATTGAGAAGAAAATTTTATAAATTAAAATTATATTGTTTACTTTTGATGGTGTTGAAAATTTTGCAACTAAGCCTAATGGATCCTGCTTTGGTTTTGTGAAGAAAGTATTTCCTTAAATGAGTTGTTTATCTTTTGTTCTCTCCCAGGAGGTTAGAAATGTCAATTAGGCAACGGGATCTTGAGCAGTGGATGAACCATCGACGCTTGCCACAAGAACTAAGAAGGTGCATCACTTATCTCATCACATCCCCTTCTTTGCACTCCATGTCCCAAATAAAATCTGCCTATTTCCTTGATCATCATAAATATTTAGTAAAACATAATGATCCCATTTTGCTTCCATACAACATGGTTGTATAGAAAAATAGTAAAGATTTTAATGATAAGCAACTCTTTTGGTTTTGATTACTTATAAGATACTTGTGAAAATAAAAGAGAAACTTTAAAGGAAAGAGAGGTTTAAAGCAAACGGCTTATCTTTCCTCAAGTTTGTTAGGGCATAAATAGTATAAAGAGTAAACCTATACGAAAAATGAATCCCCGAGTTACAGAATAATATCACCTAATATCAGCATAATATTAAGAGATTTAGTAAGGATGTCTACCAATTGATCATTTGAATTGACAAAAGAGGTAGCAATACATCCTGACTATATGTTCTGTTCTCTCGTGAAACACTGGGTTTGAAGCGATATGAAGTGTTGCTTAATTATCACAAATCAATTTCATCTCTTTGAATTCTCCATATTTTAGTGCCTGAAAAAAGTTGCTTCAGTCAAAATAAGTTCACATGTGGCCTACACCATGTCTCCTCTTTGCCGCTTGTTAAGGATTAGTTGTAAATAGAACTCTATTAGGAGTTGTAGATAGAACTCTATTAGGAGTTAGATTCCTAAATGTGGCCTACACATAGTCTCCTCTTTGCGCGATTGTTAAGGATTAGTTTGTAAATAGAACTCTATTAGGGTTGTAAATAGAACTCTATTAGGAGTTGTAGATAGAACTCTATTAGGAGTTAGATTCCTAATAGGTTTATAGTATCTTGTATGTGTATATATATGTGTGTCCCTGTTGATGAATCAAATAGAAGAAAATAATTTTTCACATTAAATTTATATGGTATCAGAGCCTATGGCTCTTTAAACTCGATCTTTGCTATTTGCATAGAAAATTCCGGCGTTCCCTCAAAATCCGGTCACCGGATTCCCTGCGCGTGGTGGCTGTCAGTGTTGGTGCTGTTCTAGGGTCACTGTTTCGTCTTACAGCCCGCTCAGGAGTGCACCAGCTGCCGACTGGTGTTCCCTCAAAATCCGGTCACCGGATTCCCTGTGCGTGGGCCCCACGCGCCGATACAAGATTCTGCTATGGTACCACGCGCCGGTGTGTGGCGGGACGTTCGGCTGTTTCCGGCGATCGGAAATTGCTTTCTGGCTTCGTTTTTATGTCAGCAGTCTATTCAGATAGTTGTTTTTCCGATCCGGCGACGTTTTGGTAGGGGCGTACTCAGTTCTGTCAATTTGGCGTTTCAGGTTACCTTTCGACTTTTGTTTTCATTGAAAGACTCTTTTTTTGTGTCTATTTCTTTTTTGCTAGTAGGGTGTTTAGTTTTTATTAATAATGGATCTTGAACCTACATATTCTAAAACTACTATTACTGAATTGATCCCAGCAATGAATAAAATCACAGTCCAGCAAGATAAAATCACAGAAACATTAAATTGAAAGGAACTAATTATTTTTTAGATTGGGAGTAAGACAATTCAAATTTATTTGCGAAGTAGTTGAAAAGATGATCTTCTAATTTTTGAATGATCCACCAAACTTGGTGACACTAGGCAACGTGCTCAGGAAGTGCTAAGTTATTTTTACTGATACCGCAATTTCTATTTGGACAGTGAAGTGGTGGGTTAATCATCTGTGAGTGCTTTAAAGAATTAATGGATGATCTTGGATTCTGGTGTACTCGGGAAAATGTAATCTGTCTCCGTATGTATGAGGTCTGCAAAGGATTTTAATATTGGGCCTGACCAGCAGAGATAAACCCTTACAGCTTATTTCTTGCAGGTCTTTGCTCCCAGTTTTTGAAACCTTGGCCAAATCACAAGTTCTTTCAGTCAGTGATTGTTACCTTCTCTTCAGGAGGACTTTTGCTAGATTGCTACGTACTTGAAGGTTCCATACGGCCTTTCCCCTTCTGATAATAGTGCCCTTGTGAGTTCGTTAATCAGGTAGCTAGACAGCCAGGAAACAGAGGAAAGAGGACGAATCACGTAGTAATGGACACAATCCTCGGGAGCAAGCATATTCTTATCTGCCATTATTGCCATTGACCTTGGTCACACTAAACGGTATTGCCCAAGGAAACTGATAAATAGCCACCAAGAGTAAAATATGGCAACTCAAGGATTATGCAGTTACTTCCTTCTGACAACCAATGTAACAATTTCTGATGTGAGTATCTAGCTCTCTAGATACCGTTCTTCGAAGTCTACTCCTGATTCCTCAATTGCTGCTGCTGTCAAACTTTCAGGGTACTCCTCCTTCAATGTCTTATGTCTACTCATTTTTAGAGTGGGGTCATTGAATTTCTGGTATGCACGATCACATGACAGGTAACCCTAGTCTCTTATCCTCATTAAAAGAACCTGCAATTTAATCAGTCATGTACTCTAGTTTGATGGGGTCCAACATGGGTCCACATCTCCTGTCAAGTGTATTGGCACCGCCAATCCCATTCCGTCTCTTCCATTGTCTTCTGTTTTTTGTTTGCCTCGTTTTTCGTTTAATCTATTATTTGTTAGCAAAATTACTCGTATGCTGAATTGTTGTGTAAAATTTTATCCTACATATTGTGTGTTTCAGGATCTTTTGACGAAGCGGATTATTGGTACAGGACGTGAGTCTGGTGGCCTTTATCTTCTGCATGAACACGTTTCATTATCTCTGGCTTGTGCTGGTGCTAGTGCTCTATCTCCTCTTGAAGTTCATTGTCGTTTGGGTCATCCTTCATTGTCTACTTTAAAGAAGTTGTGTCCGCAGTTTCAGTCTTAAAGAAGATATATGTGTCCGCAGTTTCAGTCTTTATCAATTTTAGAATGTGAATTCTTGTCAATTTGCCAAACATCATTGGTTTACTTTTAGTATCTTCGAATCAAATAAACGGGTTTCATCCCTTTTTGAGTTTAGTTCATTCTGATGGTTTGGGGTTTCATTGTCTGATTATTTCTAAAAAACTGGTGGTATTTTTTTAACTTTTGTGGATGATTATTCTCGTAGTTTAACTTGGGTTATTTTAATGAAAAAACTTTTGAGATTTCTCTATTTTTGTTCCTTTTGGTCTGAATGAATTAAAACTCTAATTTAATACCTCTGTTCACATATTGGCACAGTGATTTAATGCTAAAGAATACCATATCATAGTTCTCCAATCTAATTATGTACAGGAATGTATCTCAATCAAACATCTTCTGTGTTGAACTCCTTTCTCCAAAATGGGCGGTTTGCAGAAATAAAAAATCGACATCTTATAGGTTTTGGAGGCACTTCTATTCCAAATGAAGGGTCCGTAAAACTTCTCTGGGCTTTGATTGCTGGTCTCTACTGCTGTTTTTTTAATTAATCGGCATGCCTTCTTCTTGTGCTTAATTGGATGCAAGTTCCTGTTAATGTCATTGTTTTCCTTTCTAAACTTTCTCTTTCCCATTGAACCTCGTACTCTTTGTAACTGTTTTTGTTTTCGTGGATGGTTCGTTCCACAGGTTCCAAATTAGATCTGCAAAGTCCCTTCGTTGTGTCTCTTCCCTTGGGGTATTCTTGACATCCAAGGGGGTATCGTTGGTTTTCTCCGATCTTGACCGTTATTTATTTCTGCCAGATGTCACAATTTTTGAGTAATTACTTCCATTTTTTCCATCTTCTATATATAGAGTGAGGGAGGATGATGACTTTTAGTCTATGCTATACCAAACAAGTTCATAACTCTCTGCTCCTTACTCCTATCTCTAACTTTCCCCTCTCTCTGCTTCCTGCTCCTACTCCAGCTGTCCGCTGCTCCTATTCCTGCCCCTGCAACCAACATCTGTACGGGCCTGTTTGGAACAGATTTATTCCAGAGACCAAAGAACTTTTGACTCAAACTTTCCCCTATCTTACCGCTTTCAGCAGAAGATCGGTTCCTCCACTCAAACCTGAGCTGTTCGCCATACACTCCTCAGTAGACCTTGACCTTTCTCCATTGCTCTTTTTCGAAAAGGTAAAACGCAAGTTACCTATCCATTTACTTCTTTTGTTAGTTTATGACTCGTTTTCTCCTTCATGTCTGTTGTTTGTTAAGTAAACCTAGACTCTGTCTCTACCCCAAAAACTGTTGTCCAAGGTTTAGTCCCATCTGCGTTTGGTGTGCAGCAATGAAAGAGGAGTGGCTGCCTTAGATACTATGGACTTGGGATCTCGTGGCTCTCCCGGCAGGTAGGAATGCTATTGGGTTGTAAGTGGGTTTTTCACCGTTTAAAGTGAAATCCTTGTAGTGGACTGTTGCTTCCGTCTCAAGCTCGATTAGTTGCAAAGGGGGGGGCTGGCTTATTCTTCAAGGATTTATGGCCTTGATTATTCTGATACTTTTTCTTCTTTGTCGCCAAATTTGTCTTTCTTTGTTCGTTTTATTTATTTCTAGCAAGCTATTTTTGACTGGCCTTTTACATCAGCTGGACGTTAAGATGCCTTCTTTCGTGGCGATTTCAGGAGGGAAGTTTTACTGGAGCAACCACCAGGCTTTGTTGCTCAGGGGAGTCGGGTAAGTGTTGTAAACTTCGGAAAATCTCCTTTTTGGCCTAAAACAGAGTCCTCGAGGCTTGGTTTGGTAGATTTTGCAATAGTGGTACATCATTTGGGAAGCTTTTGGACAGATTTTTGTTGCACTTGAAAAGGGTAATCCGGTTCGTGGCCTGCTTTTTACAGTTAGTCATTTTTTAGGCATTTTGAACCATTGAATTGTTTTTTTCAGATGCGGATGGGCAGGTTCGAAGGGTTGATAGAAGAATCAACTTCAGGATATTGGTGTCTTTGTAGGTGGAAATCTGATATCGCATTCATAGCGCATTAGCGCACATAAAATGTAGTCTCACCCGATCAAGTGTTGAATCAGAATTATCGAGCTATGGGCAACAATGCTGCTTGTGAATTAATTTTTGGATTCGTCAGTTGTTTAGAGGAAATTGGCTTCAAGTTCATCTTTTGCCTGCAAAGTTATGGTGTGAATAATCAAGCTGCTCTTTCACATTGCATCAAATCCAGTATTCCATGAACGAACAAAAACATATTGAGTGTATTGTCATTTCATTCGATTGGAAAAGATACCAAACAAGCTTGTTATTCTACAGGCCACTATAAAACAATGGTGAACAGTTAGGAGATTATCTTTTACAAAGCTTCTAAATGGCACTCGAGTTAACTATCTTGTAACCAAGTTTGGGCATGATTAATATCTACTGCTCTAAACTTGCGAGGGGGAGTGTTAAGGATTAGTTGTAATTAGAAACTCTATTAGGAGTGTAAATGAACTCTATTTAGGAGTTAGATTCCTAATTAGTTTATAGTATTCTGTATGTGTATCTATATGTGTCCCTATTGGTGATCCTAATAGGTTTATAGTATCTTGTATGTGTATATATATGTGTCCCTATTGGTGAATCAAGTGGAAGAAAATATTTTTCCACATTAAATTTACACTGCCCAAGTAGTCCCTATTGGCTGTCGCCACTGTTAGTAATGGTGAGACCATTTTCAGATAGCAGGGGTTTTGGGATTTCGAGTGTTACAGTGTTCTCTTGGATGATTTGCTGATTATGTCCATTGTCGGATACATTTGGGGGATTTGGAATTGGGGTTTTGTCTAGGTTTTGGGGATCAGGAACTGAGGTTCTTTTGATGGAGGTGGAGGAGGAGGATTTTGATACTGAAAATCTAGGATTTGATGTGGAGGTGGCTGAGAAGGATCCAAAGCTTGGAATTGGGGTTAAACAGCAGGCTGTAGAGAGTCCATTGAAATTGAAAGAGAAAGAGGTAGGGTTCAGATATCAAAAGTGTATATTTAACTTTGTGGCATGTTCATAGTCAGTAATGGATGAATCGATTGAATGATATAGCTGTTAAAGGGCGTTTTGGGGAAAATTTCATTCTCTTTTATCTGACTGCCTCTCTCTCTCTCTCCTTTGACTTGATGTTAAAAATGGATTAAAATGGACGGAAGGATAAAATTATGTAACGGGACAAACTATGGGGATGTTGTAGTGTATTTTTTAAAAAATGCACGGATAAACTAATAATTTGTGGCGAACTAGAGGGATAAAATTATAATTTTCCCCCAAATGTATAGTAAGTTTTATAATCATGTCATTGCTGGTGCCCAAAAAAAAAAAAAAAAAAAAAAAAAAAAAAAAAAAAAAAAAAAAAAAAAAAATAATTTGGAAAATAATGAAAAAAAATTTGAGGTTTGATTTTTTGATTAGAGTTTATTTAAACACTTTCTTCATTTAATTCAAGAAAGTCTTTACAATTTGTTGTATGTTAACATTTATTTGCTACCTCAATCCAACTTTGTTGCTTGTCAAATGCCAGCGATAGTACTAGAAGGCTGAACGATTAAAAAAAAAAAAAAAAAAAAAAAAAAAAATAATTGGAAAATAATGAAAAATTTGAGTTTGATTTTGATAGAGTTTATATTAAACACTTCTCATAATTCAGAAGTCTTACAATTTTGTGTATGTAACATTTATTTGCTACTCAATCCAACTTTGTTGCTGTCATGCAGCGAAGTACTAGAAGCTGAACGATATATTTGGGCTGCCACCAGAGGAGTGAATGAAGAAATGATTTTAGAGAATTTCTCTGACAGTTTGCAGCGGAAGATAAGAAGACACCTTTTTAAATCTGTTAAGAAAGTAAGATATTTAATAACTGAGCTTATCGATGTACTTTCATTTTCAGTCTTGTGTTTGACTCGATTTATTGCTCCTCAATTATATCTACTGATCCATAGCTTGTGCCCATAGGATCCATTGAAAAATTAGTTTATCCAAATCAGCAAACCAACCAACTTTTTAGTTAGATGGCAATAGAAAATTAAAAGCTGATAGAAAGTAAAGAACTTTATATTAGTTGCTGAAAACAAGTACAATGAAAATGAGGACATACGCCACCTTTTAGGTTGGAATCACAATAAGAGTGTGGTTTAGGCATGTTAGTGTATCGTGCTAAAAATGTAAGAATAATGGTTGGCATTATAGTAAATTTGGTTTTAAAAATCAGGGTACCGTTGTGTGAATCACTATATTCACAGCTGTAGTGAATTAGGATTGAGTTCAGATGGTATAACTACTCATTTTTAGAACCATGTTACTGCCAGCCACACTATAGTATAAATGTTAAGAATTTGTTTACCTAATGAAAATTCAGGGAATTATTGAGTGAACTAAATATGTTAAGGAATATTGCGCCTTACTAGTATTGTAAATGAACCAAGCCGAGGTTGATCTTGTTAGGCGGAACCTTAGCTTGGCTTGATAGACTTTTGATCGGCTTGAAGCTCAACATGCTTGGAAATTTTAAGCTTAAGCTCGGCTTAATGGATGCCCGAGCTCGGTCGAGTGTAGTTCAATCAAAACCTGCTTACGCCGATAAGGCTCAATGCCAATAAGGCTTTATAAATATTTCGATAAGGCTCAGTGAGATTTCGAGCCAAATATAATTAGACTTGAGCTCAATTCGAGCCGAATCTTTTCAAATTTTTCCAAATCAAACTCAAATAGTTCACTAGTTGGCTTATCTCATTTACATTCATCGACCCTACTCTCAAGTACATAGGATCCACCTAAGTTTAAGCGTTGTGGATCCCATATTTATGTAAGTGAAGGTGGATTGTATCAGGTATAAGAATAGAAATGGCCATTTAATTCGATTTAAACTTGAACCAAACCGGAATTATGATGAGAACTGAATTGGGCTGATTAAGGTTCATATTAGTGTGAAAGAGTGTTCCTGAATTGATCTGGAACCGGCGGTCAGTGCAGTTCGAACTGAAAATTTCTCAAATCAGTATATTTTTAGTTTGAAAAGTTTTTAACCACGTAACATTTTGGTTGCATAACCCCTCACCCCTACGTGCCTTGCCCACTAAAACACTTGACTTAACAATACATTTTTTTATTTTGAAAAAAAGTGAAACTTATAACTTATTTCGTTGTTTAATATTTGATGAGGCATGGGAGGTTTTATTTTCATCTTCAAATTGAACGGTTAAATTACTATATGTTAATTTTTATTTTTATTTAATTTACCAAAATATTCAAAAATATTTTCTGTTATAATGGATAATTTAGAAATTAAATAAGAATTGTATATAAATAAGGTAAGTAGATCCATTGTTTGCACAACCAATCTTTCCTTCTATAGGTATGAGCATTTTAAAAGTTTTAACTAATAAAGTTTATTAATAATTTTTTAAATTCACATTAATTTTTTTGGAAAGGAGACGTAATCCTAAAACCAAATTTCCATTTTTCTTTGAAAAAAAAATCCAAATTGTCAGAACCGTATTAAAACCATGACTTGAACTGTTGGCTTCAAAACCATGTGGAACCGGAACTATAGAAGAACCAATGTTAAGAGCTGGTTTTGGTTCAACTTTTTAAAAGTTTTGAACCGCGGGTGCGGTCTAAAGAAGCATTCAAAAGTCAACTATGAGGATGCATCCGTTATGCAATATGCTATAATGCCCTTTTTGGTCCATTGAATGTCTTAGAACAATCATGCTCTTTTTATTAATTGCACATATAATTTATAGATATAGAGTAATGATGGTAGTAGATCCAAGTTCTTTGGAGATTAATTATTGGATGGAATTTTACATTTATCAGTTGGAAGATAGGCAAATTCATCAAACATTGATTTAATGCTATCACAACCATTAACTTTCAATTACCTGGTTATTTCTATAAGTTAAAATGCTTGATTTTTGTAGGTTTGGATTTTTTCTCTGGTGGAGGATGATGTATTTGATTCTGTATGTGAGAGACTGAGGCCAGAAATACACATCACAGGAAGTGAAATTTTTTATCATGGTGGTCGGGTTGACAAGATGGTTTTTATCGTTCGTGGGAAATTGGAAAGCACAGGAGAAGATGGGAGCAAAGCCCCCTTATATGATGGGGATGTTTGTGGAGAGGAACTTCTTGCATGGTGTCTTGAGTTCAGAGGTATGTTTTTTCCTTTTCTGGTAAGCTCACACTCCTTTTACATGCCTAAGGCATTCAAAATATACTTCCATTTTGGGATGTCCTAAAATAATTGTCCATTTTTATTTACAGTATATTTTTTAAGTTTTTTTCCTCTTTTACCCTTCAATAAATTCACATTTTATGTATACTCTCATTTAATTAAATTTACAAATTTGGAACTAATTTATTATGTGAATAAGGGTAGAAAAGGGAACACATAGATTATCACTACATTAATTGTATTTTCTTAAATTTGTAGAATAAAAAAATATGACAACTTTTTTGGGATAGGGGAAGTAACTTTTAACATTGATGGGTTGTTTGGATGGAGGTAAAATATGAATGGATGTAAAATAGAGGGTCAAAATGCCTTGTAATTTTCAAAATTCCTAAGTTTACACCTTCCTAACCTAATTTTCGCTCCATTTTGGAAGGAAAGCATAGTTACCATTTTATACCCTTATTTTACTTTCTCCCTCTTCCCAAACATAGTATTAATGCTGTTGGAATATTCTCCAGCGAATCATAACCTGGTTGATGAAAAAGAGGAGCTTTTATTCTTATCAACTAGACTGACCCTATATATGTGTGTGTGTTTTGTCAATTCAGTTCCTCTCTGCTTGCGTTAATTGGCTAAGTCCGTATAAACATTTTCAAATTATCAGTCAGAACTTTTTGAACGCTATAATAATCCTGACCATAAACTAAACTGCAAAATTGTTTTTGCTACTGTAGGTGGAAAAAGAACTCTGCGTAGCTTCAGGACAATAAAATGCTTGACGCATGTAGAAGCATTTTCACTTCGAGCTGCAGACCTTGAAGAAGTCACCCAGCGTTTTGCAAGAAACTTCCGAAATCCACGTGTTCAAGGAGCCATGAGGTTATTACTGTTCAAATTCAAATACTCCGGGGTCCATTTGATAGCTAACCATTTGAAATGATTAAGTATCTGGAATTTAAGCAAAAGATAAAAATCAGAAAATGAGGATGGAAAGAAAGAAAAAAAGAGAGACAAGGAAGAGTAATAACCAATAAGAAAGGAAACCATTCTGTACTTTTTGTTGTTCTGCTTGTATATATATGCTCACCAAAACAATCGGAAAACTGTTAAAAAATGGATTTTAATAATAATAATTACAAAGAAAGCTCCTTGTCATTATAACTCTAGCATTAACTTGAGGACTTCTTTTTTTCCTTCGTCATTGGTCTTCTTGAGCTTACTAATCTTCAAAAATGAAGTGGCTTATATAGCTCCATAGATTACAGTTCCTTCGGATCTTTTCATTAGCTGAGAGCTTTTGTTTTGCTTCTTAACAGGTACCAATCACCCTATTGGAGAGCTCGTGCAGCGTCAACCATTCAAGTTGCATGGAAATATAGACAAAAGCGTCTCAAGTATTTCAATAAATCTCTTTCAAATCGCTCTTTGAACTATTGAATTATGCAACAGAGGGCCCTTGATTCTGCTTCTGCTTGTGTTTACCTAAATTTTCATTCAATTTACTCTCTTTTAATAAAATTATCCAAGTATTGAATTGTCGCGTACAATTAATATTTAGGATCTCAAGATGAAGCAAATTATTAATAGAGGTCGTGAGTCAGCAGACTATCTACTTGATGAACAAGTATCGCTTCCGCTTGCTTGTGACGATGTTTGCCCTGCTTTTGAGGTGCATGGTTGTTTAAGACATCCTTATCCATCTTGAAGAAGTTATTTCCGTATGCTTTGTTTGGATGTGTATAAAATATGGGTGGATGTAACATAGGAGGTGAAAATGTCTTGAGATTTTCAAAATTTTTTATTTGGTTTGGATGAAAATATTTATTTTACATCCTTCTAGCCTAATTTTCTGCTTTGTTTGGGAAGGGGGGAAGTAAAATAAGGGGTGAAAGTAAAATATGGTGGAAAATTTTACTATTCATTTTCCTCCTAAAATGGAGTGAAAACAAGGTTAAAATGGGTGTAAAATAAATTTATTTTACACCGTCCTTGATATTTTACCTCAAACCAAACAAGGGATTTTGATAATCTCAAAAAATTTTCACTCTTTATTTTACATTCACTCAAACTTTACACCCATCCAAACAAAGGCTTCAATCCATTTTAGGAGAAAGATGAATGGTATTATTTTACATCTTTATTTTACTTGTTCCATCCTCTCAAACATAGCATCAGTTTTTCAAACAACATTTGTCACATCCAATGCCCCTATAGTAGCTAATCTTATGTTCTTTTTTTTTTTTTTTTTTTTTTTTTTTTTGGATTTTGATAATCTCAAAAAATTTTCATCTTTATTTTACATTTCACTCCAAACTTTACACCCATCCAAAACAAAGGCTTTCAATTCCATTTTAGGAGAAAGATTGAATGTATTATTTTACATCTTTATTTTACTTTTCCAATTCCTTCTCAAAACATAGCATCCAGTTTTTCAAACACATATTTGTCAATCCAATGCCCCTATAGTAGCTTAATCTTATGTCTTTTTTTTTTTTTTTTTTTTTTTTTTTGAAGCTAATCTTATTGTTCTATTAATATTTTTTTTTTTTTTTTTTTTTTTTTTTTTTTTGAAGCTAATCTTATGTTCTATTAATATTAATAACCAAAAACATCACCTGACTTCTGTTTTTTTTTTAAACTCAAATGCATAACATATATTGTTTCTTTGCAAGGATTTGTCACTCTTATGAAATTTCAAGAAAAATGTTTTGAATTAGCAAAATTCAAAACAAAGGAACTCCTTGCTTAGTACATGAAACAAAGGAAAATTCAAAATTTTAAATTTTTCTCACTTATGGGAAGAGCAAAAGATCTTGAATTCGAACTCCTGAATATAAATGTTTTTCAATAATTTGATGAGTTCAGGAGACTTCATAACTCAATTATTATTCAAATAACCTTATTTCAAAGCTTAATAACTCAACTTATCACATCAAGTAGCATTACAAAGCTAAAATATATGAAGGACTAAAATTTTTGAACTTTTTTTTTTACATATTTTGGTTTACAAAAATTATTACTCGAAGTTCTTACACATTATACAGCTGGGAAGCAAAAGGTAAAATCTCCTTTTATTATATTTCTCTACTCCCTTATGTTTGATCATGAGGAGTACTATGAGTGTTGTGTAAAAACTGCAATTTCACTATGTAAGAAATAATAAAAAGATATCATTCTCTCAGGATACTTAACTCTTAGAAATTATCTAAACAAATAGATTAAATTTTTTAAAGAAATAAATAGAATGAACTAAATTAAATAATAAAGCAAACCAATTTCAAATATGATCTTTAATAAATAACGAGAAAAAACTTCTTAAATTTGGAATTTACCATTCTTCATCTCTATATGCTTACTGATTGATTTTATTTTCCAAAAATTTCTAATTTCAAAAGAAAATTTTCTAAGTTTTGCTGGCAGCTATTTAATTTAATCAAAATTTCTTAGATTTGATGAAATCTTAATTAATCCCCCTGTACTAATTCAACTTATGTTTATATAAATAAATAAAAATAGAACCTTAAAGGCTGACATGGCACAAATATAGAGTTTTGAAATGTTGATTTGACTTTTTTTTTTTTTTTCGTTTATAATGTAGAGTTTTCAATCGAAATGCCTTGGCCATAAAATTAAAACCTAGCCTTATCAAGTCTTCTGTAACAGATTACAGCAAAACCACAATCAACAATATCAGTTACGCCTTTTCATTTTCCTTTCATTTTACTTCTATGTTATGCAGGTGATGTTACTATTATTAAGCGAGGGATAAGCAAAATGCCTGAGATTTGCTCGTGGGTTGCATTAGCTTTTTGAATTCAGTATACTGGACCATTAATCAGTTAGCTTCTGGTATTAATAGCAGGAACACCAACAGTTGAGTAATTGAAAAGGCAAACATATATATTAGTTAGTATCGTTAAAAATAAAAATGATCTACCAATAAGCCATAGGAGTGAAAATCTGAAATTGGGTTATTCAAATTCTATGGAGGATTGATTATATTAAACTTGAGGTGAGAGATATGTCGTTCAAAATTAATTTTGTTACCAACTGCTTGATTATATATGTTTTGGTATTGAGCCACATTATGGGTCTATTTGGCAAATTTAACTGTTTTAGTAGTTATTAGCTGTTTTAATAGCTTTCTGTTAGTTGATTTACTAGTGGTTAGCTGTTAAATATTAACTATTAGTGGTTAACCATTATATAGCGGTTTAGAATAAAAGTGTTTGGTACAAATAATTATTTGATTAACTATTTAATATAAAATGATAGAAAATGGTATGAAAGCGACGAACAAGGTAAAGACAAGTGACGAGTACAGATGTCATAAAAAATTATAAAACGCTAAATGTTAATGAAGATAATGTTTCATAAAAACTGTCTAAAACTCTAATGAAGATAATGTTTCATAAAAACTGTCTAAAACTCTAATGAAGATAATGTTTCATAAAAACTGTCTAAAACTCTAATGAAGATAATGTTTCATAAAAACTGTCTAAAACTCTAATGAAGATAATGTTTCATAAAAACTGTCAAAAACTCTAAACGCTTAATGCAGATAATGTTTCATAAAAACTGTCTAAAACTCTAAACGCTAATGCAGATATTGTGTTTCCGAACGCTATAATTAATTAAGATAGTGTTTCAACCTTATCGAAACACTAAACACTACTTCAAACACTGTTGTTGACAAAACAGGGCCTATTTTATGCTTCAGTTATTTCTGAATGAATGATTTAGGAAAACTGCTAATTTGATTGAGGCGCTAGAATGACTGATTTTGCTTCTTTTTGTTCCTTAATTCTATGGGTAACTTTCTTTTGCAATTCAGAGAATGTATTTACACTTTATCTTAACATACAATAATAAATAATATTAAAATAATATTATTAAACTACTAAATAAATTCAAATTAAGGATTCGTAATCTTTATCTTAATGCAATTGTCATAAATCCAAAATTATCTCATCGAGCGATTAATTCATAATTTACTGCACCTCAAACTACCGGAGGTTAACACTTTACAAGGTTTTTATTAATCTAAATTATAATGTATTCGTTATTGCAGATTTAAACATCGCCATGATTATTCCTTAAGAAAGCTGGTAATTTAGGTATTTTATTTCCTTTTACTTTCTTATTAAATCACAAATGTTTAGTAATAGACTATTTTGCATTATCCCTTTGTTTTACCTTTTATTTTCTTTTTATATCTGAAATTGTTATAGTAAATACTATTCAAACGTTTGTTTGATGGTTTGATTCATGGAGTGGATGCCAAAATAAACTATGAGGTTAGGAGCAACATTAGTTGTAAAGGGCTTTACATTTCTTAAACAATACAATTTGGAGTGGAATTACCAGTGAAAGAGGAAGTTTTCCCCATTTTTTCACCTCTTAATGGTTTTTTTCCCCGCTGCTTAGGCATAAACATCTGTTTTGTTGGTGTTGGCAACTGCATGTGTTCATTTAGTGGTAGGAAAATATGTTTTCGTGTTTCAATTCTTTTTTTTTTTTTTTTTTTTTTTTTTTTTTTTTTTTTTTTTTTTCAAAGTCTTTTTTTTTTTTTTTTTTTTTTTTCAAGTCTCCGCAATAGATTTTAAAAGTTTGCAAAGGCAAACATATGTTGCAGTGATTGTGCTTGGCGGTTTGAGCAACGCTTTATTATATAATTACTGATGGAGTTAAATGAAGAAAAGAAAATGGAGTTTATGTTCCAATAAGAAAGAAAGAAAGAAAAAAAAGAATAAGAACAAAGAGCAAGAAAGAAAATGGATGCTGTGGATTTTGTAATAAAACAGATAGAGAAGGAGTTTTTTAAAAACTACATTGTCCTTGTGTGAAAATACCAATACATGTCGCAGGTTAAAGAGCTAGCTAAAACTCATGGGATTGAATCCTAATTAGAAAATTGAACCATTTGAAGAGACCAAATAGGAACACAAAGATAATAACAACGAAAATAGTATTGATATCAAATACAACCTTTCCAAATATTTTCATCTGTTCCATGATCGGATCGTCAATCAAATCACTGTTCACGACCAATGACTATTTTATCATCAATCCGATCACCATCCACGTTTTTTCTTTTTCTTATCAGTTCATAAAAATACGAATGTTAAACTACTACTAGATCATTCCTTCAATTACCATGTGAATTCATGTGAATTCAAATAATAATTATATGATAATAACTCTCATATAGCAGGTCTCGGTATTTGTCAATACCATTAACAATACTTACTTGCATATTACTACTATATAAATCTTTTTAAAATAAGGAACACTAATATAAAGCTCATTATTAACATAAGATACTTAGAACAATCGGAAATTTACATACCATCAGTTACCAACCAATTTTCATTTTTATAAAACTCTTGGGTCTATAATTTCCAAATCCAAACTAGCTTAGTGTGTATGAGGTTCAACAACTAGTTCATTTGTGAAGCAATCACTTAGAACAATCGGAAATTTACATACCATCAGTTACCAACCAATTTTCATTTTTATAAAACTCTTGGGTCTATAATTTCCAAATCCAAACTAGCTTAGTGTGTATGAGGTTCAACAACTAGTTCATTTGTGAAGCAATCACATTTGCCTTTACTTAGTAATTGTCAATGCCATCAACAACACTCATATGCGTATTACTACTGCATAAATCTTTTTAAAATAAAGAAAACTGATATAAAGATCATTATTAACATAAAATACTTACAAAAAATTGGCAATTTACATACTATCAATTATCAATCATTTTTTATTTTGATAAAACTCTTGGGTCTATAATTTCCAAACCAGCTTGTGTGTGTATGAGGGTCAACAACTAGTTCATTTGTGAAGCAATCACATTTGCCTTTTCATTGTTACCTTCCAAGACTCAAGCTAAAATCCACTATGCAACAGCTTAAAAGTTATTTTTGTCTTCTTAATTTGACAATCATGCACTGAGGTCTTATCAAAATGCTTCACCTTTGCTCAATTAATCCAGAAAAAGAAATAGTTAGGAATGAAATGAATGAATGAAAGTCCATCTAGTCAACCAAAAATCTCTAATTAAAACAGATGAGCAATATCTGTTGGAATATGAATTAAAGAAATAGTAGACCATAATACAAATAGACCAATTAAGAGTAAAATAATATCTCACCTCTTCCCAACTCTACAACTTTTGGGTTGATAAATTAAAACCACTTTACATGTGAGAGCTAAAGCTGGCTTTTGTAGCATTTCAGTGTCCTTTATGGTGCTCCCACGAGCATCCAGCAGCAGATAATGCACTTTGCAAGATATACTGGAAGGAAAAGAAAAAACTATTGTTGTTATTGTTATTATTTTGGCTCAGATAATCCAAAAGTGATCAAGATAAGAAACCTAAAAGGTCATTTTCAAAGACAGATGTAGCCCCCTGCACCCCACGCAAAAACAGAATAACAAATAAATCAGATAGTAGCAGTTATTTATTAAATAATTACAATTATATTCTATTTCTTCTTTTTCTTTTTTAATTAATTTTTCTGAACTCAGAATTAGAAGAAACAGAACAGGATGCTCAAAAGCATGAAATCATCTACACCAAATAAAAAAAACATAAGAAAATTCAGAAACCATATAACCATTTATCAGTTTTTAAATTTTAACAGCCCATGATCCGAATCAGCGTGATTCAATTAAAAACAATACTTCAAACCTGAGGAAGAAGTTTTAATTATTTAAATAGTTAGAGAGTATGCTAAATGATTTACTTTGTCATACTACGGCAAATAGTATTATCATCTTCTATATGGCTTCAAGTGATAATTTTGAAACTCAGAACCAAAAGCTATTGACTCTTCATCAAGCTTCTTCTTCAACCTTCTCCAAGTTCTCAACATATCAGATTGTATTAGTCCTTTGTAGAGTGTTTCAAAAGTAACCTTTTGGGGAAGGAACCCTCTCTCTATCATCTCCACAAAATATTTGCATGCTTCTTTCCATTTTTGTTTCTCACATAGCCCACGAATCAACATTGTATATGAATCCAAATCTGGCCCTGGTCCACTTGTGCATAAATCATTCCATATCTCATTCACAATCTCCATACGATTCAACTTCATAAACATCCCCAGTAATATCTTATATGTTTGCATACTCAGAGCAAACGGATCATCTTCCCTCATTCTCCTATACAACTTCAAAGCACTTTCTGCATCCTTCCTTCCCCTATACTCTTTAAAGAAACAATTATAGGTTACTGCATTAGGGCTAACCCCATTTCTGATCATCTCAACAAGCAACTCCTCTGCATCCTCAACCCTCCCGCAAGAGCAAAGACACTTCACGACTGAAGTATAAGTGGTGACAGTTGGGCAAATCCCCTTCTCCTCCATCAGCTTCAACTTATCAAGTGTTAGTTGAGGCTTATGAGCCCTACTATACACATGAAGCAAAATAGAAAAACTGGTGACATCAGGTTCAATCCCTCTGTGGCGCATTTCGTCGAACACATTCTCAGCCAATGTTATTGTTCTCTCGAACCTACTCTCAGGCTGCAATTTAGCCCTCCTGCAAATCCCATTTAACAAAACATTGTAGGTAACAACATTAGGCTCAATCCCCCTCTCATCCATCTCCCTTAAGAACCTCTCTGCCATATCAATACGACCGATCTTGCACCATCCATATATCAAAATAGTGTACATTCTCACATTAGGACTAAACCTATACTTCCTTTTATTAAAAATCTCAACTGCCACTTTCGGATAACCATACTTACACAAGGTATCAAGCAAGAAACAGAAATGGGTCTCATCCACGTTCTCAGTGATGAAAGATTCCATATCATCAAAAGCACGTATAGCCTGGCGGGTAAGGCCCGCGGCAATCAGTCTGCGAATGAGTACAAAGAACGTATGGGAAGTTGGTTCATCCATCTGGATTATGAGCTGCCAAGAAACATCAAACTGGTGGACCTTGGACAGAATATCAATGATGATATCATAAGAGGTGGAAGTAACAGTTGACTGAGAGGAAGGGAGAGACAGAGCATAATGGAAAAGGGAGAGGGCAATTTTCGAGTGATGGCGGAGACGGAGGAGAGTCTGTTGGAGGAGAGGAGTTGTAAGAGAAATTCCATGAAGCTGGAGAGATGATTCCATGGCGTGGAATGGGTTGTAGTGGCGGAGAAGGATTTGGGAGAGCAATTCGGCATCATTTGATGGCTCGAGTGAAGGAAGAGAAGACGAGGAAGAGCAAAAGAGACGGTGAATACAAAAAGGAGTTGAAGGGATGAGGGCGCGAGAATGGAATAATCTGATTGCCATTGCTAATTGAAATTTCATTTACAGAATACGTAATAACAGATAAAAGTGCAAAGTGATGAGAAATTAAACCTATGCCTTACTTGGAATATCTGCGCCTGCATACCTGCCCTTCGTGGAAACGGTGGTTGTGGGCACTTCTCCGTTATTTTATATAGAAAAAATAATAAAAAAAAAAAAAAAAAAAGTTTAATTTGCCTCTTTAACTTGGAACCAATATTCAAAATGAACAAAAATACTTTTTTTTGCCTAAATTTTTGAGAAAAACACTCGTATTTTAGTTTGGATCAGGTGTGATATATGTTATTTTTATATTATAATAAAATATCTGAGTCTCAAATAATTCTTCTTCTTCAACTATAGAAATCAAAAATTCTTAAAATTAGAAAATCCAATAGCGAGATGAGAGCTAAAGGAAGGGGAAAAAATCTGCACAACAAAATCCTTACAGTCATGTTGTTCAGCATTATTGTCACACTTATCTTCACTCATCCTCGGCTGTAAAAACACTTGCAGCCTCATAGTTGAACTGATTGCATAATAAATGAGTTCTATATCCCTTTCTACCTTTAATTTGGCGATCCAAGTTAAAATGTGGGTATTTTGAACCAAATTATATGAATATTTGATGAATTTGGTGAAAAATGTCATTTTTGTTCACTTTAGACAAAGACTGCAAGTTTAGGGAGAAAATTGAGGTTTTTATTTTTCTTATTTTACTCTCTTGCTTTACATTACATATAGTTAGGCTAATATTGTAGAATCATCAACACTTCAAAGAACAATTACAAGCAAAGCCTAAAATTATCAAAATGATTACAATGATACTCAAATCTATATTATATATAAATGTGAAAATATGTGAAAATAATGAGATTGCCTATAGTAGCCTTACATTAATTTGGAATTCCTAGTATATAAATTTAATTAGATTTATTATGCATTTTAATTGGAGAAACCATTTATCATTTTAAAAATCCTTTTTGTTGTATTTTTTATTATCTTTTAATTGGAGAAAATAAATTCCATTTATCCTTTTTAATATCTTTTTAATTAGATTTTTTATGCATTTTAATTTGGAGAAAAAGATTTATATGCATTTTCTCTATTTGATCTTGCATTATTATTGTTCAATAATTTTTATAATTAATAGATTTTGATATTTTTAATTATAAGTTCTCATATATTTTCTAGAAGGTAAATCAAAAATTTTAATTCAGGTACTGAAAATGAAATTTAAATTTTTTAGTTCATTATATTCTGAATTTTTTAAAATATGAGTAAACACTTTACTGTTAGACTCTTTGATTTTCTCAGGGATGGATGGTGGTGCACACTTATTTGGACTATTTACACATTATTTATTTGACTGATATCATATAAAAAGTTTGTTCTTTTTTAAATAATGAAATCTTATTAAAAAATACGCTATAAAATTTTAAATTAATGAAAAAAATGGCTCTATGATTTAATTGGATGTATTTTTTAAAAAATAATTTTTAAAATAGATATAAAGATAATTAGGCCTTTGAAATTTTAATTTTTTTAAATAAATACACAGGACTTTGAAATTTTTGAATTTAATATATATATATATATACTTTTCACTACCAATATGAAATAAACCGAAAATTGATTTTCATAAATCTCTTAATTAAAATAAAATTTTAATATTAACCAATGAGATTGCACAATAAAATATTTTATTATTGCATAATCAGACCTGTAAATCAGTTTGAAATCTTCAAAACCAAGTGAAAATCGGATTAAACCTTGATTTGGACCAAACCAATTCCAATCGAACTGGAACGACCCGGCACGCGCTAGAAGCTTCTTTCTCTCCTTTTGTTTTCTTCATCTTTCTTCTTCTTTCTTCTCCATCGATTGAGCGGCAGTCAGCCACTCTCTCCCCATCTCTCTCTTCCGTTTCTCCGGCCACCTTAGCCAGGCGATGCCACCACTCCTTGCCATCGCGCTACCAGCCTATCCCTTTCTCTTTCTTTGTTTTCGTTTCTTGAAAAAGCAACAGCAGCTTCGACCTCGATTTTCGATCGCCGCTTAGCGTCAATCCTCCTCCGATCATCGCTCAACGTCGCATCCTCTCCACGCTCGTGACTCCGGTGAGAGCTACAACACAGGCGAGCTACGATCTCTTTCCATCGATCAACGGCGATGTTACGGTGATACTTGGCTCTTGTCGAGCCCGTTCCGGTGGATTAGAGGGGTGATCTTGCTGAACCGACACCAAATATGGACTCCTCAGTGAAATCCGAGCCAAAGGGTATGAAGAGTGCTCAATTCCGAGCAGTAACAATTTACCGGCCACCGTATACGGCGGCGGTTCGGAGAACGGCCGGTGATATCCCGGGAGGCAGAAACTCGAGACTTGCACGCTGAAATTGAATCCGAAACTCGATTTTTAATCTGTATAATTTAAAAATTCAGTTTATTAAATTTATTGTAAATTTTAAGTTTAAAAATTATTGGCATTGGGTGGAATTAATTTTGATTAAAATAATTAAGAATTAAATATAAGATATAGACTTTATTAAATTAAAGCAAATTATAAGTGTTGCCATAAAAATAAATTGAGAACTTTGATAAATATGGATTTGTAGTATGGATTTTAAATAAGTTAACCAAAACATATAAATTAAATACATGGGCATAAGAAAAATGATTATTAAAAAGAAGAAGAATTACAAGTATAGTTAAATTATATTGGTTCTTTAGATTAACTTGAGTTAAGGATTATAAACCAAATAAGGAAATAAATGGATATTTAATGTCATACGAATCATTCAGGAAATAAAAAGTAATTTAAGTAAAATGAAATTTATTCACTGTATGGTGTCAGTTATTTTGAAATTAGAGTTATATTATATGAACTAAGACGGCGATGAATTAACTAATTAGAAGATATAATATTTTGAATGATGTTAACTGAATAAAGGGTTATTTATATTGTGTGCATAAGAGATTTGTTTTCTGATAACTGGTTAAGGACGTCAATCGTATATAAGGATTTTTTGGGATTAGATTGAGCAAGTATTTTAATCTATAGGCTTACAGTTGATTATAACATTATTACTTATGGTGGTTGGATATTGAATTACTGGATGGGCTGTATAAGTAATAATTGATGATCATATTAAATGGTTAATATTTGAGCAAATAGAAAGTTTTATTTGAAAAACACTATCAGAAATATCGATAAGATATCAATTAAAGCAGTCTATTATCTAAGCAGATATATGTAGGTTAATTATTTTTTTAAGGAAGGTCATCTGTTTAATGCAGTTTTTCTTTTATATTTGTGTTTTATTTAGATTATCTGAGTTTGTCTATCATTCTTGCTAGTCAAATCTAAATGAAGACTTGCTCTTTCTTTTATCAATGTAAGTAATAATAAATGGTGTATACCGCATTATTTGCATACACACATCATTCATTTTATACCATACAGACACACATTTAATATTCAGCCCCTATCTCCATGTATTAATATGATATCATTGAAATATAATTATTATTATTATTGTCGTCTATTTTATAAGTATAATTAGGTAAAGACCCGCGCATTGCGCGGATTACTTTTTTTTACTATATATTATATTTTTAGTTTTTTTAATTTACTTATAATTTATAAGTTGTTTAGTATATATGGTTTCATAGTCTATACAGACTTTGCAAAACTCAGAAAATTAAAAATGATGACGTGAAAAAATATAAGTTGATATGTACAGAAGAAAAAAGAAAAATTTAAAAATTCATTTATAAGTTGTTTAGTATTATGGTTTCATAGTCTATACAGACTTGTGCAAAAACTCAGAAAATTAAAAATGATGACGTGAAAAAATATAAGTTGATATGTACAGAAAGAAAAGAAACAATTTAAAAATTCACACACACACACACACACACATCATATAATAATATATATTATATATATATAATATTATATATTATATATATATATATATATATCAATAGATATTGAATTACACTTTTTCCCTTCTTTAATTAAATCTAATCATAAAATAAAAAGGATAAAGTAAAAAATTTAAAAAATTAAGCAGATAAATAATATTTTTAAAAATAATTATTTTAAGTAAATATTAATTTTTAAAATAAAATTATTGATGGCTTGTGATTGATTTCTAATAATTTAGATAACAACATTAAAATTTTAAATTATTAGGCAGCACAGAAGAGATAGAAGATTTAATAAGCACCTCCTTACCAATCAGGCTAAGTATATGGGACTGCCAATTAAACAACCAATCTTCAACCTTCTAAAGAATATCCTGATAAAGAGACACCATAGATCTACCATGTAACAAAGAAACCCCAGGATAAAGTCCCAGATCAAAAGTAATAGCAACACCCAACAACCCCCTTAACCTCTGCTTCATACCTCTAGCAACAGATTTAAATAAAAAAATGTGGGAGTTAGCCGGATTAGCTTTTTGCCCACCACACTTTGGCTGGATCGATCAAGTACTTCTTATGGTTTATATGAAATTAATATTCATTTAACAATTAATGTCTAGCCATTATATATTTTTCTTTTAATTTTAATTTTATTATTCAAAAGAATATAAATAATTCTTTTGATTTATTAAAAGTCATTAATTATGATAGTAAGTTCTATGTCTAATCTAATTGAGCATTTATAGTACTTGATTTTATTATTAATGAATTATATTTCAAAAAAAAATATCTGGTATTGTATGTATTTTATTATCAATACAAAATCATGCTTTTATATAGTAAAAATTTAAACAGTATAAGAGAAAATTATAATCAATATTTAATATTATAAAAAATAAATAAATATAAATAACGAAATAAGCAATAAAAATGTAGAATGCGCGTCATAAAAAGAACCAATAACATCTAAGTATTAGAATCCATGGAGTCAAAATCAAGTAATGTGAACTTAAGCCTTATTTGACAAAAGCTTTTTAAACGGCATTTAGTGTTTTGAATTAATATTTCCATACCCTTCATAAATTGGATATTTGCAGAAGTCATTATTATTTGTTCAAACAAATATATATATATATATATATATATACACACACACACACACACACTCACACACACGAATTACCTAAACACACGCACATCACTGTTCCTTGAAAGCGGACCAATAGAATGAAACAAATATATATATATATATATATATATACACACACACACACACACACGAATTACCTAACACACGCACATGTCACTTGAAAGCGGACAATAGAATGGGTATAAAATCAAAATCTTAGATTTGAAGAAAAATATTGTCATATATGCTAAATTGTATTTAACACGTATCACAATACTACCATCTATTTTTGGTCGGTTCTTTAATAAGTTCCTAGTTTTCAAAAAATTTTCATGATTTGTACTCTATTTGTTTCTGTATAATAACTTATAGAAAAATAACTTGTCGAAAAATATTATCGAAAAACAATTTGAAAAATATTCTCTAAATGACTTATTTTTAGTTGTTTGGTTGAAATAATGAGAATTAGTTAAAAATATTAAAGTATGTATCTTATAAGACCATAAAAATATTAATAATAATAGAAATTTTATCATTTAAAAATTTTATTGTTAAATATAAGATGTAACAAAAAATGTAAATTATGAAAGCCAGTGGTAAACGGTGACAAAGAGTAGTGATTATGCTGATTAATAAATTAAAAAAATATGAATTTATAAAATTTGTTAATATTCGAAAAATATTTCTCTCTCGAAAATGGAAAGTTATTTTTCTTAAACAATGACTTAATTTTCCTTTAACTAGAAAAATATTTTCCGTTAAGACTTATTTTCCTAAACGCTCCAAACAACAAAAAATTGTGAAAAATATTTTCTTGCAAATTATTTTACGGAAACAAATAACGAAAAATTGTGAAAAGTATTTTTCTCCAAATTATTTTACAAAATTATTTTAAAAAAACAAACGGAGCCTTCTTGTCACCGACAAAGTTAAAATTTTGATCACATCTTGCTTACAACTTTATAATATCATGCTCTAATTCACTTTTCACCTTGCCCAGTTAGGTTTGAAAAGTTACTGAAACGGACCAAATAAACCGAATAGTCACCCACAGTGAAAAGTTCTTTGGTTGAGTTAAAGTTTCTAATTATATATATTGAATTAGAGCACGATACTGTTTTGAGATAGAAAAATGTTACGTTCAGTCTAAAAAAGTAAGAAATTCTAACTAGGTGAGTTGACCCTTGCATTTTCTGATTGTTCCAAAAATTCATATGTTAGGATTGCAAACAATATATACTCCCAATATTTATACAGGTCTACCCACAAATCACAACTGAATTGTAATTGTTTATAATTAGGAGTCAAAATGAGCAAAACTGAACAGGAGTATCAAGTCAGACACAGAACAGCACCCAGTAACTGAGTATGTTACATTTGTGCACTTCGTAAAGAGAAAGCATATTGGCATTTGGTCCTGCCAAGAAAAACTTCTCCCACCCACATTTTCAATAATTATGCCTCAAGCCATAGGTCAAAATGAAACCAATTTGTGTCGAATTTACTTATTTCATGAACAAGGTGCAGTATATAACATATATGCATTGAAACAAAACAAACTCAGTGTTTAAATCTAACAAATGGATACTCTCCTTGAAAACAGCATAGAAAGCTAAGATTGATAAACTACGACATTTGATTCACATAAATACCAGACAACAAACCAAACCTTACCTGCAAAATGTTTTCGGCTCATGTTTCTCGTCATTATATTTGTATTGAAATTATTGAGGGAACAAAAAAGAAAGAAACAAAAATACAATAATTTATGTCGGCAAACGTATGTCTACCTATCCCTCTGTAGTTCAAGTGAGCTGGGACTTAAAGCATGAGCTATCAGATGTGATGATCACAGTTTATGTTGACTGTTTTAGCTTTTCTTCAACAAGCTCAATACATCGATACATAACTAACTCAACTGGGTTAAGAGCACATACTGTGTTCATTGCAAGTTGATTATAATCATTCTTATTCTCTGTCATAATTCCAGTCACAAGGGTTCGAAGAGGCAGAAGCCATTCATTATATGCCTTCTGCAAATTGTTCTTCGATAGTACTCCAGTAAAGTTGGTTTGTCCTGTTCATTTTGACAATAAATTAAATACGAATGTATAATTCATTTAAGCGAAATCATAAAATTTTTCAGATCTTCAGGCAAATGTGTTTAGTGGTGAGTTGACCAATATTAAGTATTAAATCCATTCATCTGGTGCACCATCTAAACTAAAATATAATGTCAAAAGTAACTGGATTCACTTAAACAAATTTGCTGAATAAATATGTCCGCATTAACTTTTCAAGTTCAGTTAGGAGATCCATGTATGGCTTGAATCAAATGAATTATCTTAAAACGAACAAACCGATTAAAATACTCGCAAACCTCTGTGATTTTGTAGCTAAGTGGCCAGAATCATTGCCCAAATATGTTTTATTCAAGCAAGAAAAAAAAATATTAACGCAAAGCACATAAAGAGTAGCAACATCACCAATTAGAACTTTTCAAGTAAACGTTTCACCTGCTGATTCTGTCATCAATATAAATCTGTAAAGGTTGAGTGCAGATAGAACCTGAGGAACAACATCATAAATGTAAAACATAAATCTTTTGAAACATTCAATACTACATGCTAGTTTTATTTTATTTTTCTGAAAAAAAAAAAAAAAAAGAAGAAGGAACAACAGTAGACTTTTAAGAGAAGAGACTAATAAATGAAATACCGCATCTCCATGCTCAGGAAAGGGTGGAGGTCCTCCCTCTGGTGGCCTCAAAACTCTCTCCAACAGTTCAAGCACTCCATCATTCCAAAGTGATGTAATTGAACTACCTTGATTTTTGGCTGGCAATGATTCATTTTTTCTAATTGATTTTCTTTGGAAACGTTCCATGTGCAACTCTCCTCTAACAAGATCTAAAAGAATTGCAATCTATATGAAGTTGTGACAAATATTTCAGACAGAAATTTTAGCTTATAATTTGAACAAATGTCGAAGCTTATAAATCAACTAGTAAGCACTTACCATGGAGGAAGAATTGTTGTTTGCTATCAATGCTTTTAAAATATCAAGCCTCTCAAATGTTGGAACATCATGAAGTACCTGGTTAAACTTATTAACTGATTAATTATTTGGACACAAGTCAAATAATTTCAAAGCTTCAAAAAGGAATAAAAGGATAAAGGAAAAGACCAGTACATATCCTGCTTTTCTAGAATGGTTTATGGTAGTTTTCCTATTGATTATCAACAATTTCTAGGTTCTACCTGCAGGAATTTCAGGATAAAGCCTGTAAAGCACGGGGTTACTGGTGCCTCCACTATTTCAATTACAGTTAAAAAACTTACCCTCTTTAGTGCCTCAAAGGCATTCTTCCTTAACTCAGTATTTGGTGCATAAATGATGACCTTTGTAATGGCCTGAAGGATATATGTTCTCACCATTAGAAAAGAGAACAAAAATGCATGCCCAAACTCAAAATCGCAAGAGATTACCTGCAACACTGCATAGAGGCTAGGCAAATAAATAGAGCAATCAGCTTGTAAATCGCGTGCAACATTTCCATTTGTAATACAAAGCAAGAGGTTAATGGCATGTTTCTTTAATTCCCATGGCATATTGGTAGATGCCAATATATACTTTAACATGCCTATAGCTTGCCACCTATTAGTTTGATTACTTCGAAGTTCATCCTTGACAGCAGACATATTTTCCCCAGCAGCCAGAGCAACATCATCATAGATATGACCCCAGATCACTGTACAGAAAGAGCAATAAAAAAAAGCAATTGCAAGAACAAAGAAAGAATTAAGATAATCAATATTGAAAAAGAAGAAACAAACGAGAATAGGAACCTCTGTATTTTTTGCACACACAAACCTGAAAGGGATGCACCATGTTTGATGTAGGATAAACAGCTCATAAAATCATATTCCACCTCTGTGTAATTTGTAAGTTATACAACATGGCAAGGAAAGATTGTCATCATTTACTTAGAAGTTACAAATCTTAGATAAAACAATACCATGCAGAAACCTATTGAAGTTTACCTCCAACAATAATGTTGGTCATTAAGTTAACATCAGATCCTGTTATTAAACCAACATATGATACACTGCAATATGGGAAAATTTTGGAAAGCTGTGACACCGGATGAAGACAGCTTGACAACTTATCTCCTTCATTGAATGAAAGAAAAGCCTACACATCAAGGGTGTCATAGCTTAAGACATGAACAAAACCATATTTGAAATAAAATGACTAGAAAATGTATATGTGCTCAACTTAAGAACTTTAGCTAGAGGACAGCTAATTTGAGAGTACTAACCATGATTTGTAAAACATATAAACCAAGTAGAGCACGAAGCTTTTCATTTACTCTGCCCTCCTGTCATCCCGAAACAAGTTAGGTAAATGGTGAAAACTTATTAGGGCTTGGTTCAGTATATACAAAGGAAAATGAACAGGAAAACAAAGTTTCAAAATGGCATACCATTTTTTCACAAATGGCTCGTATGGAATGTGCAATGTCTAAAGCTCTGCAAATTAAATCAACACATTCTTTGTCTTCGTCAGCCAGCTCAGAACATGCGATCTTTAACACATTTAGGATAACTGGAATTGCTACTTTTACTTGCTCAAAGTGACGCCTCTGTATTGAAAGGAATACTAAGGGAAAAAGACACGACATGAATTCAACCAGAATCAGAAGACTGTTAAGTGTATCAAAAAAATTATCACATTCATAACAATAGCTTTTTGCAGTTGGAAAACTTCATTATGTGCTGACACAGCAAAAGCCCTTCATTTTATATCAAACAGAACAAAAAATTGTAGATTATCGATTAAACAATAACAAAACCACTTAAGTCTGAATATTTTATACCTTAAGAAATAGTGTCAAGCTGCAAAACCATATATAGTGAAAAAAAGAAAAAAAAAACACATTTCATTATTTTTTTAATAAAAAACAATTTACTACAAGAATATTCATGACATGAAACAGAAATGAAATGCATAAAGGTTCATAATGATACTGTAAGCAAGAAATATCATTTCGATAATATACTCAATATTGGAAATCCTGACCTTTTGAGAGCCCGCTTAGAATAGAGGCAACATAACCAGATGCATTAATTGGCCTATCTGTGGCACTCAAAGCCTGAACCAATTAAAACACAGATTTTAGCATTAATCAAAGCAATTATATATTTAATCTAGATTTGAAACAATGCCATCAAATTCACAAATGAAAAGGAGAAGGGTCAACATTAAGTTGAGCAAATGAATTTAAACAATTACCCCGCAAAGAATTGAAAGCATGTCCCGTGGACTACATATAGCTATAAAACGATCAATAATCATATCAGCAATCTCCAAGCACCTACTTGACAACCCTGCAAACTTTGCAGCTGCTTTCGGCAACACAAATGAAAGCACATCAAGAACCTCCTGCAATTCATAGAATAAATTTATGAGCAAAGGAAACCCATAAAAACGAATTTAAATAAAAGGAACAAAAAAATTAGAATGAGAACAAACAAGTAAACCTGGTCTAAACTAGAAGAAAGCAAAAACATATGGATGTAAGAAAGAATTTCCAATGCTTTGTTTTGTGCATCTTTGTCTTCAGGGTTAGCTAACGCTGAGCCCGAGATTGTTTCGAGGAAGTCAACCAGCTCTGACACTGAGCTTTCATCTCCAACTTTAATTGACTACAGAATAAATTTAGAGAAAACATTTTCAAATTGAATCTTCTCAAAAGCAAACAGAATGATTTTGAAATTTTTAGTTGTGAGGGAATTACTTCGGAGCAAGAGGATAGGATTTCTTGTAGACGAAGCACAAGAGAATGGGTAGAAGCAGTTTCGTGAAGCCCTGTGGTTTCTTCTGACATGGTGTGGCGGATGCTTCTTCAGTTTACTACACAAAGTTTATCGCACAGAGTCTCCTAATAACAAGATTAGGCTCTTGCAATGCGTCACAAGAGAATTTTACCAACTACAAACGGGGATGAACAAACGCAAAGTGATGAGAAATAAGAAGAGTAATTCAAATTTGCAGGAGCAGGAAGCTTTTATGCGGCTGATGCATGGGTTCCACTCATAAGCGCCGGATGGAGTCGCCAGAGGTGGTGGCGGAGCAATCTCAGCTTGCTACACGAAAGGAGACAGCAGAAGGGGCTGGATCGAATGCCGCACAGCCCGAACCCCTCTTCCTCCAATTCAACCAATTAATTTCGTGAATTTTTGCTAGAATTTGGGGTCGTAAGAAAAATAATGTCATTCAAAAAACCTATTTATAAATTTAAAGCGCCTATCCTTCAATTTATCTACAATTTGTCGAGTATCTGTAGTTACTAATTGGCTTTTGAAATGTAATTGCATCCTAAAAAAAAAAAAAATCTTAAATTTGTCCATTTGCTACAGTTGCACCCTAAAACTTATGGATTTGTTGCGGTTGCATCTTAAAACTAAATTGCTCTTAGTAATTTAATAAGTGTAATTTAATTCATAACTGTATAAGAAGCTTACGTAACAATTGAATAGTAAGTTTGGTGCATAAAGCAAAAAGTTGAGCTTCAAATATTTTATTACTCTTGGTAATTTATAACTGTGTAAATAAAAAATTAATGTTTTTATTACTTAACTTGAAATATTTACGCACTAAATTCATCCAGTGGACTCCTAACAAAACACTATTCTCTTTTATATTTTTTATTATTAGTGGTCATATCCCATATTTGCACTAAAACCACCAAATGAACTATATGTCTCAGTAAAAAGCCATTTGACAATTTAAACTTTTTATTTTGTATTGAAACCATCAAATATATAAATATACAAATAAAAAGCCATTTGACAATTTAAACTTTTTATTTTATATTGAAACCATCAAATATATAAATATACAAATATACAATGATATATAAGGTTATGTAAAAAGCTAACTACCTCATCTATTATTTTTAATCTTTTAGCAATAGTTGCCTTAATATGTATCCTATAACTAAATTTTCTAATTTATACTATATATAAAGTAGGTGAAGGCCTGTGCATTTGCGCAGATTGAAAATGTATTATTCACTATTATGGAATAGTAGACTATTTACACTTACTTTGAATTAAAGTATTCTATAAATTGATTTGACGATAATTCTTTGTGGTATTTTTTACAGGAATTCTTATAAATTAATCAAGAACGGAGGATTTATGTTTCAAAAAAAAAAATAATAATAAAAAGGAAGGACTGATCATTAATTAAGTTGCTTAAATATCTAAATCCTCCAATAGGAAAGCTTTGATAAAAGTTTATTATTGTTCATTTTCACAGGACTATTGGCTTATTATTATTTAAATATCAAATTAATAATTTTCTTATGATGATTTTAGAAATATAACATTATCATTTTTTTAATATACCTGTAAGAATTAAGTGTCGTGAAGGGATTATAACTTGATAACAGAAACCGTAGAATTTCATTTCAATTTGCTTTATATCAAGATATGAACAACTTCACCTCTATTTCAAGTATTATCTATCTCTTCATTTCCAAATCGGTTTGATAAAAATCGCTTAAAAGATATAGATTTAAAGTCAAGATCTACCAACCAACAACACTATTATCCTATCCCCACCATAAATTAAAAAAGTAAATAAACTAAGAAAAAAAAAATTACATAAAACACAAGACACTGTAAATGAACTGTCAAGCAAAGTTAAAGCATAAAATGGAGACCACCATAATTCTATCATTCCAACAATAATAGAAACCACCACTTGAGTACACATGGTTATAGTTATTTAGAACCCAAACGACTTGTTACACAATCTCAGAGTTCCAGACCTTATAAACTTCACAGGAATAATAGGCAGATGAATGAAGCATTTCACAATATTTTTATTTGTCAAAGTGTCATTGCTCTTGTCAGAAGCTACAAAATGCAAGTCGTCTGAGATAGCAGTCTGTAACAGAATGCACCATATATGTAACACCCCTTCCCGGTCCACCCGTGAACCCGAATGAACCGAGTCGAGATGCTACAAACTGTTGACTGTATGGCCTGACATGCTGAAATCATAATGTATGTTGAATAGCTTGAATCATAATGTATGTTGATATATATGCATGCTATACTGTTTACAAAAGATAAATGAATTTATATTTACTAAAACATGAATACAAATGTCAAAAATGAAAATGGGCCCCAACTGAGTGCCCTGTACATGCCATAAAAAAGGGTAGACAAAGATACCATATAAATGATGAGTAGCTACCCTGAAGACTGAGTCTGTCTAAGTGCAATATGAAAACTGCAGCAGTGTGTAACCGATCTCTATGGTCCCGATGCTCAAAACCTGCAGTTTAAACCGTTAACTCGCTCTGAGCAAAATAATGGCTCAGTGAATATTCTCAACATATAAAGAAGACAAATAAGCACATGTACAATATAGAAAGAACCATTGTAAACACATATGGCAATTATAGCACACAACATCATGATAGCTTCGATGATACCTTGAGTTTATCTTTGTACTATTGTTGATAATACGTATAATTCATGAAAATGTTATTCAAGATATGCTGTATGCGCTCACATAAGTTATAGGTGAAACCAAGTGATAAGGAAAAACTGTATAAAAACTGAATGAATACTGTTATGCTTGCGCATGGCCCAATAATCATATCCACTATTTCAACGCCTGTAGCCGGGAGTATCCAACTGTATATGAGGTGCAGGATCTCTTCCTATGTCGCCGACTAGCCGGCTTATCTACATGGTCTACGCTAACTCAATGGAGCATAATGTTGTATGTCATAAATAACACAACATCCATAATAGTTCAGAACTTCATATTCATAATTATATTTGATTTCACATCATTTGCATGAATTGAATTGTTGTTTGAACATGTTCTATTTGTTATTGATGTTTAAAATGATTGAGGCATATAAGTGAAGCAAAGAAATACAATTGCATTGAAAAAGAAGTCCAAAAGTGCATGAAAACACAAGTCGCACAATTGCATTGAAAAAGAAGTCCAAAAGTGCATGAAAACACAAGTCGCGAGCGCGTAGAATGCAAAATGAGAGACAGTGAGTTATCGGGCACAAGACGCGAGCGCGTACTTGAAAGTCGCGAGTGCGAGAAGTGCGATGAAGGTCGCGAGCGTTTACAGGCCAAAAGCCAAGTACGCGAGCTCGCACTTCACAGTCGCGAGCGCGAGATGTGCCAAATGAGAGTCAGAGGGTTTGCGAGCACAAGTCGCGAGCACATACTTGAAAGTCACGAGCGCGAGATGTGCTAAATGAGAGTCAGAGAGTTTCAGGTGAAAGTCGCGAGCGCGTAGTTCAAATTCGCGAGCGTGAGAAGGCAACGCGACCGAGCATTCGCGCGCGCGCTTCCATGCCTGCACGTCTGAGCGTCTTTGTCATATCTCTCAATATACAACTCCCCAATTTGGATGATTCAAAAACCCATAAAGTAACACATAGAGGAACAAATAAATCTTCTATAAACTTCCTAATTCATCATTAAATCGGGGTCAAGAATCAAATAAGCTACTTTGGTAAAATTTCCCAGAGCAAAACCTGTTTCAACATAAACTCAATACTCACTTCATTTATTCAATACTTCCCCTGTTTTCCCCTGTTTTCTCACCATTACCAGTCCTCTCACTCAACATAAAGCAATATGTCTCAGTAGCAACACACCACACAATTTCTCATGCAAAGAAAATGGAAAAGAACAAGAGATATCAAACCTTTACTCCAAAAGCTTGAGCTCCTCTTTAGCTTCTTTTTTCTACTCCCTTAGAACTCCCTTCACCTATAAAGAAGAATTCTTATAAATTCTAAAATAACAACACCAAATGATTCAATTATGAACTTCAAGAAGGTTTACTTACTTGCAAAAGGTTACTTACTTAATTAAAAGAGAAGTTGAAGTTAGGCTAACTACCATGAAAATGAAATGTAAGGTGAAGAGGAAAGAAGAAAATGAAGAAGGATGAAGATAAACATGAAAAATGGGAAAGAAATTATTACGGTAGGCCTATCAAAAAAATCAAAGGGCTTTTTTATGGGAAAAACTTCCTAAATGGTACTCTCAATTGGTAAACAGCTACAATTAATAGCCCAAAGCTGCAATCTTTTATACAATCAATCCTCACCCACATGCTTTATCTTTTTTTCCTCTCACGTAATTAAAGTCCCACTTATTAACCAATGCTACCCCAATCGGTTTGGTTCAACTCGCTCAAACTCGGACTACTCAACTCTATGTAAGACTCGGACTCAGAAGTAGATGTCAGCCGAATTCTCCCCTTCCAAATAAAACTTCGGTCCCTAAGTTACCTGTTGTGAAACAACTGCGGATACTGTATGGCGCATGGTCTTCAGATTTCCCAAGTTGCTTCTTCTGTCTTATGATTCCTCCAAAGAACTTTTACGCACAATGCTATTTCTTGTTCGGCCAATTCCTTAGGTTCTCTGGCTAAAATGATCTGAGACTGGTTGCTTTTCATAAGTTGAGTATCCGGGCTGAAATTTCAATCTTTCTGCTGATAAAACACGTGTGATGGTGCTATCTGTATCTCACTTAACATGGTCTGAAAGACTATGAATTCGGATCTAAGTTGAATGGGATTACGCTAGGCGATTAGGCTAATGTCCGTACACGGTTCAACAATCTGTATGACCAAGAAACCTAGCACCTAGGGCTAAGCTTACCCTTTCGTCCAAACCTTAGGATCTTTTTCCATGGTGAAACTTTCAGAAATACTTTATCACCGACCGAATACTCAATATCCTAATCTCCTCGACCATCTGCAAAGTTCTTTCACTTGCAGAAGCCGTTTTCTGATGATTTCCACTTTCTCTTCCGTTTCTCTAACCAAATCTGGACCCAAAATCTTCTTCTCACTAAGTTCTGTCCAATACACAGGTGTTCTACATTGTCTACCATACAATGCTTCATATGGTGCCATTTTAATGCTTGATTGATAGCTGTTGTTGTAGGCAAATTCCATGAGAGGTACATATCTGTCCCAACTGCCTTCAACTTCTATAACACATGATCTCATCATGTCTTCCAGGATCTGAATGACTCTTTCTGATTGGCCATCTGTCTGAGGATGAAATGCAGTGCTGAAATACAATTTCGTCCCTAATGCTTCCTGCAGTTTACCCCAAAACTTCGCATGAACACTGATTTTTGTGAATTTTATGGTATATAGGTATGTTTTAATCAAAAATTATTTAACATTGCATTCCTAGAACAAATTAGAATTCCCTTTCATGCAAAATTTTAAATGCTTACATTTAGAAAGAGATGATTTAGGCAATTTTTTTTATTGAACTTCATAT